CCTGCTTACCCCGGAGCCTTTCGGGCCAGTCCCCTGTCAGCTTGCAGGGAATGTGATAAATCAGATTTCACCTTTGTTTCTGCACTCGCCACATTATTGAACAGGGGATTTTTGCAGAAGCTAAGGACTGTGGTCAAAGATTTGTTATGTAGGTGAATACTGAAGCATCTCTGGTCAGTAATGTTCGGGTAACAAAAAGCATACTACTGTGGTCAGTATTAACATTTTTCCGCAGCAGCGATGAGGTCTAGCTAACAGCTGCATCGCATGCCACCATATAGCTACCCCGTGACTTAACCTCCTTTTGGCAGACACTTTGGTGACTTCTGGTCTTGTTTTCCATTCCCAAATATTGCAACAAATCTTTGTGCATATGTCTTTGTACAGTTGGGGGGCGCAGCAGATACTACCTTTGCTGCTAATGTAGAGAAAGGTCATTATTAGGACTGTACTTTTTTTGGGGGGGTTTAAAAATTTAAAAACCTGTCTGAAGCTAGTGTCTTCAAGCTCCTTATACTTTTGGTACAGTGAATATAAGTGCCTTTTCAACTTAACTTACATATATATGAAGTTCTCCTGGTGTGCCCTGAGTCAGCATGTGACTTGGATTTATAGAGCTCTTTGGGATGACAAAATAGCATTTAATTATCTAGAAAGTAATAAACATGAAAAGTGTATTGTAATAGATAATATACTGCTTCCATAACAACGGGATTAGAAACCCTTTCAGTGAAAATATTTGAAATGAGTTAATAAATTTGACGGTGGAGCCAAGGCCTGGCAATATCGCCCCCTAGAGGCCAGTCGGAGCGCTCGTCCCACCGGTAACCGAGAGCTGGTTCTCGCTCTGGGGGGCGGCTCCAGGAGCAGAGCGTCAACTCAATCCTGTGACTTCTGGGTTAGAAATGCAGTGACGCTGGGGGCGGGGGGGAAGAGCGAAGTTTTCTTCAAGATTAGGCCTCTTGAGTAGCTGAATATGGAGGTTCTTTATGAAATCAGTGAGTTAAAAGAATTTTAACAGCCCATCACTGGCATCTTGTCTGGATTTCACAACTCCTACCCATTCCCTTGGACTGCAAGGAGATCCAATCAGTCCACCCTAAAGGAAATCAGTCCTGAATATTCACTGGAAGGACTGATGCTGAAGCTGAAGCTCCAATACTTTGGCCACCTGATGCGAAGAACTGACTCCTTGGAAAAGACCCTAATGCTGGGAAAGACTGAAGGCGGGAGAAGGGGGCGACAGAGGATGACATGGTTGGATGGCATCACTGACTCGATGGACATGAATTTGAGTAAGTTCCTGGAGTTGGTGATGGACAGGGAGGTCTGGCGTGCTGCAGTCCATGGGGTCGCAAAGAGTTGGAATGACTGAGCGACTGAACTGAATTGAACCCATTCTCAATGCCAGGTGAGCGTGAGGCACCAAGGGAGGCCAAGGAGCTGGCAATGGGGCACCTCGCCGGCAGGGGCTGCCATCTGTCCCCTCCCCATCACTCAGGAGCAGCCTGAGCCCAGGGGATGCCCACTGGATGCATCAGAGATGGGCTGAGAAGGGTGTCTTGCTCTTGGGAAAACCTAAATGCCTGATCTGCCTCCTTCCTTCCCTGCCCTCCCTTGTTCCCGCCTCCTAAGAGGCCTCCTCCACTGTAAGCTGCAACCCACCCTCCACCCAGCTCCCCTGATGCCCCTCACCTTTCTCTTTTTTCCATAAGTCATCTTCTTATATGCACTAGCTTTATGGTTGGTCTCCCCCCAGCAGAACGTGTGCTGTGGGAGGGCAGAGCTGTTTTGCGCCGTGATGTATCCACTGGTGTCTGCGTGCTGTGCTATGCCTAGTCACTCAGTCGTGTCCGACTCTTCGCAACCCCGTGGACTGTAGCCCACCAGGCTCTTCTGTCCATGGGGATTCTCTAGGCAAGAATACCAGAGGGATCCAATCCAGGGGATCTTCCCAACCCAGGGCTCGAACCCACGTCTCCCACATGGCAGGCAGATTCTTTACCAGCTGAGCTACCAGGGTATCTAGGTATCCAACAGACAGATGAACCAAGTGAGCAGATGAGGACACATGGATTATTTCCATAATCCTCTCCCAGCGTGATCTGTTGCTCTGTCTGGCCAGCAGGGGCTGAAGCCGGCATCCAAGGCCACTCACGTCAAGCCTGACAGGGACGTGGACCCCTCCAGGAGAGGCAGGACTTACTGGGCAGCAGAGAGTCGGAGCCCAGGCAGTACCAGACTCCAGCATCAGCCCAGACTCTAGTACCAGGCCGGGCCAGTGCGGACAGCGCCCTCTAGTGCCCACGAGAGTTCATACCTCGGCGAGAGCAGGTGCCTGTTGAAAGTCGCTCAGTCGTGCCTGACTCTTTGCGACCCCATGGACTGTCCATGGAATTCTCCAGGCCAGAATACTGGAGTGGGCAGCCTTTCCCTTCTCCAGGGCATCTTCCCAATCCAGGGACTGAACCCAGGTCTCCAGCATTGCAGGCGGATTCTTTACCAGCTGAGCCACCAGGGAAACCCTTGTGCCTGTGACCCCCACACAAAGGGAGGAGATGGGCTCTGGTTTACCCTCCGCCTTTTAATTCTGTTTCTCATGTCTGCCTTCCTGCCTTTTCTCTGACCCTTCTCCCCTGCCAAAGGAGGCACAGTCTTTAGAGCTGTGAAGAAACTTCCTCAGATGAAGCAGCTTGTCCGAGGTCCTGCCTCTCCCATAGAGACCGACAGACAGACAGGCAGACAGACACATATCAGGGGAGAGGGAGCTGAGGCTGCAATACAACAAAAATAATCCAAAAGGGGAGGTGCAGGAGGGCTGGGAGAGTCTAGCTGGGACGGGGGAACAGACGCGTTCATCCTGCACCCCTCACTCACCCCCCACCCCCAGGACTTGAGATCTACGTTACTTAAATGGACACTGACAAATCATTTGGTAAGAAGGGTCCAGAGCATCATGACAATGCAGACGGGGTGCCTTCAGCAAGGACCACAGTGGCTGGCAGGGGACAGAAATGGGTCAGACGCCTGGACACTGACTCACCCTCCTGCTCCCAGCCTCCTGCCTCTTCCCCACGGGGCGCCCTGATGGGCCTGGTCACCCACCACGGGCCCTGCCCGCGCGCCTGGTGTGACAGAGCCGTCTCCTCTGCTGCCAGCCGCCCCGCCAGCCCTCCTCCCGCGGGCCTGCAGGCCACTCCTCCCCAGACTCCAGGGAACTTGTTATCAAGTTCTCCCGAGCCTCTCCACCCAGCAGGCAGCCGGGATTCAGACACAAACCCCATCCCCTACAGACCCAGAATGTTGAGCAGGTCCCTGCGCTCAGCACGGATACGGTCCCCCCAGCAGCTCCCCCACCACCGCCAGGTGGAAGCAGGCGGCTTTGGATCAGGAGGCGGGGTGCCGCCGCCGGGGCCCTTACTGCGGAGTGTGTAATTTATAGTCAGGGTGGCAAACAGGTGATAACTGTGCCCACAAACACGCACCCTGCCTCCTCCTGCCCCGTGCCTGCCGCCCCTCCGCTAGGGGTGGTCAGAGTGCAGTCCTGCTCACCGAGGCACGTGGGACCCACAGTGACCCCTGTTCGCACGGGGACCAACCCCCAAAAAAAAGCCCTCACTCCAGCTGCAGGATACTTTTATTTTTTGAGCCCCCTAGCACATGTGATCTAGTTCCCTGAATAGAGGTCGAACCTGTGCCCCGCTCCTGCATTGGAAGCACGCAGGAGTCTTAGCCATCGGACCGCCAGGGAAGTCCCCAGCTGCAAGAAATTTAGTCATTTTTCCTCTGAAGAGCTGATGGCATCTCCCACATGTTGTTATCCTTTCGGTTTGGTAAAGAAAGCTGCTGTCCCTCAGTGATGGACCAGGAAAGCAAGAGAAAGCTTTTGGTGCAGATGCATTTAACAGGCGGAGGCTGCCTCCAGGCAGAGCTTCCCTCTCTTCTTAATCCTGGCTGCGCCTTAGATCGCCAGTGGAGCCCTCAAGAATCCTGAGGTTCAGACGGCGCCACAGACCAAGGAAGCCAGACTTGGGTGGCAGGACCCGGGCGTGATGTCTGGCAGCTCTTTGGGGGGCCTCAAGGTGGAAAACCCCTGGTCAAAACAGCTGCTCTTCAACCTCTTAAAACATCTTCCTACCGGACGTGACCCACACCTGTGTTACTACAACTCTGCGTCGATTCACCTGCAAGCTCTCCGCGTTGTAAATCATCCCTTTGCCTCTTTCCCGTGAAGAGGGAGGCGGGCTCCTTTTCCGGTTAACTGGGTTGTGGACGGAGCTTCCCAGGTGACTCAGTGCTGAAGAATCTGCCTGACGATGCAGGAGACGCGGGTTCGGGAAGGTGCTCTGGAGGACATGGCAACCCGCTCCAGTATTCTTGCCTGGAGCATCCCATGGACCAAGGAGGCTGGCGGGGGCTACAGTCCACGGGGTCGCAGAGAGTCGGACACGACGGAGCACACACACGTGCACGACGGAGCACACACACGTGCACAGGCTGTGGATGAGACAACAAAGAACCAAGTTCTTTCCAACTCTCTTTCCTGCTGCAGGCCTGAGCTGAGGGTCGTCCTCCCACCCGCAGGGGCTCCCCACAGAGGTGGGATGTGCGGGCCCTGAACTCGCCCTCTGGTCTGGCTCAGCTGGGGCAAGGGGCGCTGGTGCAGCCTCGCCTGGGGGCTTCATCTGCCAGGGTGACTGACGGCATCAGGCGTCGCGGAAGCAGCTGTCAGCTCTGCTCAGCGTGACGCAGCCGCGCCGGCGCCGGGGGCCGCGCCCGTTACCACCGTCGGCCACGGCACCAGCGTCTCTCGGGCTAAGAGGAGCCTCCAAACGTGTGATGCCTGCTGCGGGGACGGCCCGTCACACATCTCAGCCAGCAAGGCCCATTTACTCCCAGGTGGGAAAGGACCACAGCAGCACCCCAGGTGCTGAGCGGGCAGAAGCACAGACCACCGAGGAAAGGTACTTCTTTTGCTTTGAAAAATCAAGAAGGTAACCTATGTGTTAACCAAACTGCATATAAAGTGAGATTGGAACCCTTCCTCCTCCCAAAAATAACATTAAAAAAAAATTTTTTTTAAAGGAAATATGCTGAAACAGTAGCAAGGGTTTCCTTTTGGTGGTGAGATGGGTGATTTCCACCTCCAAGCCAGTTTCTTTTGTCCTAATTCACTCTAGTCTACTATCTTTCTAGAAAGAGCATTATTACCGTTAAAACCTGAAAGCAAACATAACAAACTTCCAAAAGTTAATCAACTATTTAGGAGCCAAGTTGATCAAATCATCCAATACACTAAAACCTAAATGGAATAAACCTTCTCAAAGTACGGTCTCCTCTAATTCTGGCTGTAGGAGAATCCACCGTCAAGTGTCTGCATTTTTATACAAATATTCCGAGGCGAGAGTCACTCATTTTCACACTAGGTAGCACTGAAAGTGAAAGTTGCTCAGTCTTATCCGAGTCTTTGCAACCCCATGGATGACACAGGGCTCCCATCTCAGGAATTCAAGAAAAAGAGAATGTAGTCTATTAAGATGTTCACATCTCTGAGGTAAAAATGTATCCTAAATACAAGAGGCGACATATCTCTGGAGACCAGTCCACGTGTATCTTCCGTTACTGAAATCCATTTCCGTCGGATGCCACTGGTCTCAGGTACCTTCAGGCACAGGACAGGTCTCATTGGGGTCCTTCTCCGTGCTCACCGAATCGGGGCCGCTTCAGCTCCGGGGGGCTGACCTGAGGGTCTGCAAGCATCTCTGAGGCTTAAACACACACAGGGTTGGCAGGTGAGTGAAGACATCTCTAAAGTTAAGAGCTGAAGTTTACGAGATAAATTTCGTGTCCAGACAAAGGAACTGGACTGCCTAGCCAGGTCCTTCGTGGATCTGAGGGGGAGATGTGACCCAGCAGTTCGCAGCCAGGGGTGGCTGTGCCCTCGAGGGGCAGTGGGCAGAGTCTGGTGACACTGCAGAGTGTCACGAGGAGGGGGAAGGGAGGAGCGCACCCAGGGGTGCTGCTACACTGCCTGCATCCAAGGACAGCCCCACAGCCAGGAGTGATGCCCACAGCGCCAACCAGACTAGACTGGGAACCAGCTCTACACCGTCTCCCCCAGGTTTAAACAAGCCTGGTAAGATGCATCCTTTTTTAAAGCCAGGTTTTATTTATTTTTATTTATATGGCTGTGTGGGGTCTTAGTGGAGACACACAGGATCTAGTTCCCCAACCAGGGACTGAACCCAGGCTCCCTGCATTGGGAGAGTGGAGTCTTGGCCACTGGACCACCAGGGAAGTCCCAAGACGCATCCTTGCTTTCTCAGAACGGACTTAAACTCAGGCGGTGTTCATTTCCAAAAGAGACGAGATTCTCTTTAATTATATTAGACCAGTAACAGTGTCGCTTGAAAGTTAAAGTATTAATCACTCAGTCGTGTCCAACTCTTTGTGACCCCATGGACTGCAGCCCACCAGGCTCCTCTGTCCATGGGATTCTCCAGGCAGCAATACTGGAGTGGGTGGCCATTCCCTTCTCCAGGGGATCTTCCCGACCCAGGGATCAAACCCGGGTCTCCTGCACTGCAGGCGGATTGTTTACCAGCTGAGCCACCAGGAAAGCCCACAGTATTGCTCACCTGATTGAATTTCCTCTGTGGAAGGGCTGGAAGTTATGGGGGTTGATATGGAGTTCGGTGGAGAATCTGTCTTTAAGGGTATTAAGTTTATTCTCCTGGATTAAAAAGAGAAGTAAAAGGTCGTGAGTGTCACAGGGATTGACTGTATGTGGTACCAAGGTTCCAAGGAAACACAGCTATCAGCTGACATCACGGAGGCGCTGAATACTGTGTCAATGTGCCTCCTTACTCAGTAACCAAGGACCACTTACTCAGTTACATCGGCACATAAATCAGTCAACCAGTTATCTAAAAGCTTCAGAATCCGTGCTTTGTGAATTTTCAGTGACACATTAACCACTCTGCTAGATGCTTCATATAAAGCCTACTGGCCATGGCTTCTGGTATGGAAGCTCTAAGACACGGATGGTTCTTTTTTTAAAAAATCCAGTCTCAATTCTCAACAGTCACTTTTTTAAAACTCTAACTGCAAGAAGTTCACAAGAAATTAAAGGGGGGGAACTTTAATACCAAAAAGACTTCAAACACTGTCCCACTCCCCTCCCCCACCTAGAAGCGAGGTGGACGGAGGTCTGAGCGAGGATGGGGCCCCACAGATGTCAGGAAATGTCTCTCCGGCCGCCGTGTGGGAGACCACACGGTACAGGGTGGGGGGCTGTGTTGTCTCAACCTCAAGGATGCTTTCTTTCTGCATCCGAGTGCTCACCGGGGTGTGGGCTTGCTCCAGGCCTGCAGGGTGTTCAGGGTGACCCTCCGGGATGGCTGGGCCTTGGTGTTCTGACTGCTGGGCTGCAGGGGCTTCTCTTTAGGGGGTCCTGCCGGGGAGACCCTGGAACCGGGAGCGGCCGCGGGGGTGTCCTTGGCCGCCGGGGGGGCTGGAGACTGTTTCACCTGTGGGGGGGTGGCAGAGGGACTGTTGGGGTCCTGGACTCTGCCGGTGGGGGTCCCCTCCCCTGGCCTGGGTCCTGGCGAAGACCCCGAGGGGGTCTGACTCTTGGTTTTCTTTGCTGTATCAGGAGTTCGCACGCTCAGAACCGGCTTCTCTTTCAAGGGGATTCCAAGCTCATCTTTCTCGAACGTCACGAAGGAGCAGTAACCGTCTGTGGAAGAGATGGCCAGGAAGGCCCCGTCGCTGGACCTTCATTCCCAAAACAGAAGCAGAAGGGAGGAAGTTTACCGAATGCTGTAGGCCACTCTGGGCGCGCTCATCACCAGGCAGGAAAACAGAAGTTCGAACACCGTCCCCAGCTTTGTTTGAAGGCAAGAGTCGTCCGGGGGAGGGGGCCTGGCTGAGGAAGGACTCTTGGAGCCCCTTCCCTGCCCCCCCATCCCCTGCACCACTGCCTCAAGCTTCTCAGGGCCCCAGTGTCTCTGCCTCTTCACAAAATCCACCGGGGAATCTAGGTGAGACGGCCTCCTCTCGCCCACCAAGATAAAAAGAGGACAGGAAGAAGATCAAGAGTTACAAAAAGCAGGAACTGGCTGGCTGGCAGGGTGGCCAGGCCCAGGCTGGGCCCCAGCGGGCGGGAGAGACGGAGTAAGGGACCCGGGGGTGCTAAGAACCCCAAGCAGGAAGGCCAGAGTGGCGACCCCCCAGGATGGGCCTGTTTCCGGGTCCCCCTCTGTGTCTGGGCTTCCCTCCTCTCGACTCTGGAGGGGAGGACTCTTGCGAGTCCCTAGATGACCAGGGAGCCCAGGTGTCTTCCCCTTGGTTTATAAGAATGGGAAGAATCCACAGGGCGATCTGTGTGGCATCAACACCCACTGACATGACCACCAGAAGCAGTATTGTAGCAAGTGAGACACAGATTTCCTTTTAATGTTAATCTTTTCCAAAAAAAAAAAAGCTGGTAAATAAGGGCCAACCAAGCCAACTGCAGGGCTGCTCCAGGGGAGGGTGCGTCCTCACTGCCCACTCACCAGGAAATGTCGCTCAGGGTGTGGTAATGGATGTTGGACACGTAGCCGAATGGGAACAGCTGCTGGGTGTCATAGAGAAGCACTGAGTCCTCGGAAGCCACCGCGAACACCAGGCGGTAGGGCAGGCTCACCAGCTCCACGCCCGCTTCTGGTGATGGGCGCACAGGGGCAGAGACGGTCAAACAAGCCAAGCTCTTGGAGAAAACACCTTTCCACCCCCACCAAAGCCCGCTCCCTGGGGACGTAAGTGACATAATTTCATGAAAGACTAGCTTGCTGTATGCTTTACAGAATTCAGTTTTGCCTTACTTTATATACGAATATCAGAATCCAGGGCTTCCCAGGTGGCTCAGATAGCAAAGAAGCTGCCTGCAGTGTGGGAGACCGGGGTTTGCTCTCTGGGTCGGGAAGATCCCCTGGAGAAAGAAATAGCAACCCACTCCAGTATTCTTGCCTGGAGAATCCCATGGACTGAGGAGCCCGGTGGGCTGCAGCCCATGGGGTCATAAAGAGTCAGACAGGACTGAGTGACTGACACCCATGTAAGAATCAAGGAGAACTACACATGAACCAATGAGGACACCATGTTATGATCCGAGACTCACGGACACCTGAGATCCGAAAAGAAGGAAAGGAAGATGTGTGGATGAGGCAAGTCACCCTGGGGTCAGCACCTGACGAGGAAAAATCAGGGTCATGTAGAAATGTCTCATCAAGGGGTGTTTTCATGCTGTGTGCGTGCTAAGTCGCTCAGTCGTGGCCGACCCTTTGTGACCCCATGGGCTGTACCCACCAGGCCCCTCTGCCTGCGGGGACTCTCCAGACAAGAACACTGGAGGGGGTTCCCATCTCCTCCTCCAGGGGATCTTCCCAACCCAGGGATTGAACTCAGGTCTCCCGCATTGCGGGCAGATTCTTTACCAGCTGAGCCACCAGGGAAGCCCAGGAATACTGGGGTGAGTGGCCTATCCCTTTTCCAGAGGATCTCTCCGACCCAGGAATTGAACTGAGACCTCCTGCATTGCAGGCGGATTCTTTACCAGCTGAGTTAGCAGGAAAGTCATTTCACATAAAGGTTTAGAAAGTTGAAAAGTTTCTGTATCTAGCCTTGGAGTAACAGGGACCAACTGACAACTGACCCTGAAAAAATTAAAATACCTGATAGAATACTGAAACCAGAGTTTGGGGGACACTGTCCATGAGCCCATGAAGGACAGCAATCTCGCAGAGACAGGAAGCAGGAGACCCAAGTCCTTTCACTGCCCCTGCTTTCTGCCTGGAGTTTCCAGGCCCCACAAAGGTGGAGGGAACTCAGGCGGCGGCCACCAGAAACCCCGAGCTGAGAGCCAAGAGGCTTGGCGGAGCGTGTGGTGGCGGGGCACAGAGAGAGCTGCAGGGGCCTCCCGAGTCTTCAGCTGATGCTGGCAGTGCATGCATGTGAGAAAACTATGGGAAAGAAAGAGCCATCCCTAAGGAGGCCAGCAATCAAACAGACAGACAATCCACTGGATGGGAGGAAGTATCTGCAACTGATGCTACGGACAAGGGCTTAACTTCCAAAATACACAAACAGCTCATGCAACTCAACAACAACAACCAAAACCCTATCCAAAAATGGCCAGGAGACCTAAACAGACATTTCTCCAAAGAAGACATACAGATGGCCCATATGAAAAGATGCTCACCATCGCTAATTACTAGAGAAATGCAAATCTGAACTACAGTGAGGTACCACCTCACACTGGTCAGAGTGGCCATCATTAAAAAGTCTACAGACAACAAATGCTGGAGCCAGGGAGCGCAGCCAAAATTTAAAAAGAAAAAAGAAAAAATGAAAATACATCTGCATCCACTAAGGTAAAATCCCCACAATGTCTAATAAAAAATTATCAGGCATGCCAAGAAGCAGAACAATACCCATAATGAGAAAAAGGTTAATCGAAACCAACCCTTTGTACACAAAGCCATTGAAAGAGTTGTTTTAAGAAACTGTAGTCTATGTGTTCAAGAAGCAAGAGGAAAGCAGATACACATAAGGAAGAACCAGCTTGAACTCTGGAGATGAAAACCACACTGTCGCAGGTAGAAAATACACCGGATGGGTCTCTCGCATTTCAGGCAGATGCTTTACCATCTGAGTCACCAGGGAAGCCACTGACTGGGTAGAACCAAATAAATAAATATATTTTTTTAAAAAGCTCCCCTAATTTGATGGGAACTATAAATGTGTAGATCTAAGCCAGCCAATGAACCCCAAGCATAAGAAACACAAAGAAAACTGTGGCAGGCACACAGCGGCAGGACTACTTAAAGCCGCTGACAGACAGAGAAATCTTCAACGCAGCCAATGGAGGGAAAACAGTTACACAGAAATCCAGTTCATGTATCATCTTTACTGCACAGGAAGTTGATGATGAATGATCGTCAACCAAGCAGCAGAGAAACAATGAAAGCTACTACTTTCATTCGTTTAAAGTTGCTTGTAGCAAAAAAGAAGTGTATTCTAGACAATGCATAGGCTGACACGTATTTTGGTAACGTCAGTCTTTGCTCCTGAGAGGGGTCAAATAGAAGCAACCCCGCACTCACCTCTTCCCTCCCTGCCCCGGTTACTTAACGCACCTGCTTCCGCCACCGGCCTCAGCTCAAAGTAGACAGGGCAGCAGCGGACAGCGAGTGTTGCCTTCGCAGGACACGGAAGGTGGGCGATGGGCCTAGAAGATGAATTACGGTTTTGCAAAAAGGCACCGTCAAGTTAACAAAAGCAAAAAAAAAGAATGGGTGCACGTCTCATATATTTGTTTAATCACCTACCTTTTAAGGTTTTTCCTGGAGAAAACATAAGTCGTGTTCATTACATTTTCACCGGATTCCACGCACCCAGCTGGAGAAGCAGGAGAGGAAGGTGAGGCCTGTATTATTAACAGACTGTTCACCAGCAGAGACGCACGATCATCAGTTCTGGTTTATGTTAGATTCCCCGGAAAGATTATTTCCTGGCCAGTGTTTGATGGTTGAGGACAAGTGCAAACATCTCATCCCTGTCTGGGCTCAGCCCTTACTGCGGTTCTAGCGACCTGTCACCCCGAGTGTCACCTTCCAAGGGGGCTCCCTGGGAGCCCCTACTGGGCCTGGGAAGGAAGAACAGAAAGCAGGGACCCCGGCCTCAGCAGACCTCTGCCTGGGAATCCAGCCAATCCCTGTGGTGAAGCGCTGTGATCAGACCCTCGGCTTGCTGTCCTCCCCGATTCTGACCCCAGCTGCCACCCAAAGCCTGAGACTTGGGCTTCTTCTCTCTGCCTGATGGCGCCCCGAGGCTGCCAGGGAGCCAGCCCTCCACTGACATCTCCAGCCCCTGCAGAAGCTGCCTCTGCCCTGGGGAGCAGTCCACATCTGAGAGCTTACCGCAGGCTATACTCAAAACCAGGTCAGATCCTGTTGGAGAACGCCCGTCACACACAGCTACTCTTGGGAACATCTCCCTGTTTTACACTGACATTTCCACACAGCCACACAGTCTTCCACAAGACCATTCCATACCCCCTGGGGAGGGCAGCAGACAGAGCCAGTGTCTCCCTACCCTCTCCCCCTCACCCATCCTTCCATCCCCAAATAATCCATCTTAACAAACGATCAGGTCATTGCTAATTTCCTCCATGCTCACATAATCATCACAACCAGTTATAACTCAACTTCAGGTATATTATACAGTGGCTTTTTAAAATCTATTTTACAAAATGGGATATTATTCACACTTGTGCTCGTTACCTGCATGGCACCAATGGATCCTTTTCTTAGTAGCTACCTACTGTGCACTGGTATGAAAATACCGTAATTCATCCTCTCTAAGTGAGTATTGCTTTTTGGTGGTTTGTTTTTTTTTTTTTTTCCAACTACAAACCATGTTTGCAATAAACACGCTTGGACAAATATCCTATGTACTGTTTTCATTTCTTAACGAAGTGAATCTCAGATGACTCAGCAAAGCAGATGCACTGAACGGTTACCAGACTGCTTTCCAAAACTGCTCTGATAATCCACACTCCCTCCAGCAATAGCCATACCCACACCGGTCAGCCATAGGTATTTTCACTGTTTTTCAGTGTGAAATGACTAGAGCCATACCTAACTTATATCAAGGTAGCCGGGACTGCCTTGACTGTTGCTGGGTTCCCGAACACTCTCCTGTGTGTGCTGATACCACATGCAGACCTGCTTTTCTGCACACTGCCTTTTCTATCTGGCTCTCATTTCTCTCTTCCAGATTTTTCCCCTTTGTTTTTTTGTTCTTCTTGCCAATTGGAAGAGCGCTCACATACGATATCATTTAGCACTTTCTTTCCTGTTCCATGAACATTATTTCCCAGCTCCATAATATGACTACTGATATTGCCTACTGCATCTCTTGCCCGTAGGCAAGCTCTACATTCTATAGCCAAGTAGGTCATTTAAGAGCTTCTGGGTCTCCAGTCTTTTGCTTGATCTTCCCCAGTCCTAGAAAGGCCTTCTAGATTTTCTTGTAAGAGTTTTATATTTTCACCTTTTATATTTAAGTATGGAGTTCACCTGAGATTTATTTTTATATATAAGCTAGGAGTTCAATTTCATTTTCTTCCATACATCTGGACATTCCAGTATTCTTCACTCACTAACCCATTCTTCCCACTGAAATACCCTCAGGTTACCTACTAAATTTCCTTTTATCCCAAGATCTATTTCTGGATTCTGCTCTGGTCCACTAATCTGTATGTTTATTCCTATAGCAATATGGGTACAGAGGAGCCTGGTGGGTTACAGTCCACAGGTGGCAAAGAGCTGGACATGATTGAAGTGACTGAGCACCCATACCAATTCCATACTGATTTGATAACAGTTATTGTTGTTCAGGCACTCAGTTCTGTCTAACTCTTTGTGACTCCATGGAGCACACCAGGATTCGCTGTTGTTCTTCAATATCTCCCTGGGTTTACTCAAACTCATGTCCATTGAGTCAGTGATGCCACCCAACGATCTTGTTCTCTATCGTCCCCTTCTCCTCCTGCCTTCAATCTTTCCCAAGATCAGGGTCTTTTCCAATGAGTCAGCTCTTCGCATCAGGTGGCCAAAGTATGGGAACTTCAGCTTCAGCATCAGGCCTTCCAATAAATATTCAGGATTGATTTCCTTTAGGATGGACTGGTTTGATCTCCTTGCAGTCCAAGGGACTCTCAAGAGTCTTCTCCAACAACACAGTTCAAAAGCATCAATTCTTTGGCACTCAGCTTTCTTTATAATCCAACTCTCACATCCATACATGACCACTGGAAAAACCATAGCCTTGACTAGATGGACCTTTGTTGGCAAAGTAATGTCTCTGCTTTTTAATATNTCTAAATCCAACTTGAACATCTGGAATTTCTTGTTTCACAAACTGTTGAAGCCTAGCTTGGATAATTTTGAGCATTACTTTGCTAGCAAGTAAAATGAGTGCAATTGTATGGTAGTTTGAACATTCTTTGGCATTGTTCTTCTTTGGGATTGGAATAAAAACTGACTTTTCCAGTCCTGTGGGCACTGTTGAGTTTTCCAAATTTGCTGGCATATTGAGTGCAGCACATTCACAGTATCATCTTTTAGGATTTGAACTAGTGCAGCTGGAAATCCATCACCTCCACTAGCTTTGTTCACAGCCATGCTTCCTAAGGCCCACTTGACTTCACACTCCAGGATGTCTGGCTCTAGGTGAGTGATCACACCATTGTGGTTATCTGGGTCATGAAGATCTTTTTTGTATAGTTCTTCTGTGGATTCTTGCCACCTCTTCTTAATGTCTTCTGCTTCTGTTACACCCATACCGTTTTTGTCTACTGTACCCTTCTTTGTGTGAAATGTTTCCTTGGTATCTCTAATTTTCTTGAAGGGATCTATGCTGCTGCTGCTGCTGCGTCACTTCAGTCGTGTCCGACTCTGTGCGACCCCATAGACGGCAGCCCACCAGGCTCTGCCGTCCCTGGGAATCTCCAGGCAAGAACACTTGAGTGGGTTGCCATTTCCTTCTCTAATACATCAAAGTGAAAAGTGAAAGTGAAGTTGCTCAGTCGTGTCAGACTCTTCACGACCCCAGGGACTGCAGCCTATCAGGCTCCTCCACCCATGGGATTTTCCAGGCAAGAGTACAGGAGTGGGTTGCTATTGCCTTCTCTGTGAAAAGATCTCTAGTTTTTCCCATTCGGTTGTTTTCCTCTATTTCTTTGCATTGTTCACTGAGGAAGGCTTTCTTATATCTCCTTGCTATTCTTTGGAACTCTTCAGATGGGTATATCTTTCAGCATTCAAATGGATATATCTTTCCTTTTCTCCTTTGCCTTTCGCTTCTCTTCTTTTCTCAGCTACTTGTAAGTCCTCCTCAGACAGCCATTTTGCCTTTTTGCATTCCTTTTTCCTGGAGATGGTTTTGATCACTACCTCCTGTACAATGTTATAAACCTCCATCCATAGTTCTTCAGGCACTCTATCATATCTAATCCCTTGAAGCTATTTCTCACTTCCACTGTATAATTGGAAGGGATGGGATTTAGGTCATACCCGAATGGCCCAGTGGTTTTCCCTACTTTTTTCATTTTAAGTCTGACTTTGGCAATAAGGAGTTCATGAACTGAGTGACAGTCAGCTTCCAGTCTTGTTTTTGCTGACTGTATAGAGCTTCTCCATCTTCAGCTGCAAAGAATATAATCAATCTGATTTCAGTATTGACCATCTGGTGATGCCCATGTTTAGAGTCGAGTCTTGTGTTGCTGGGAAGAGAGTGTTTGCTGTGACCAGTGCATGCTCTTGGCAAAACTCTGTTAGCCTTTGCCCTGATTCATTTTGTATCCCAAGATCAAACTTGCCTGTCTCCAGGTGACTCTTGACTTCCTACTTTTGCATTCTAGTCCCCTATGATGAAAAGCACATCTTTTTTTGCACTACAGAATCTCTGACATTCAGACAAGGAGATGCCTGCTCAAGTGTTACTCTCCTTTCATATGTGCTACATGCTCAGTTGCTCAGTCATGTCGGACTCTTTGTGACCCTGTGGGCTGCAGTCTGCCAGGCTCCTCTGTGTACGGAATTTTCCAGGCAAGAATACTAGAGTGGGTTGCCATTTTCTTCTTCAGGGGATCTTCCGGACCCAGGGATTGAACCTGCATCTCCTGCATTGCAGGTGGATTCTTAACCACTGAGCCACCTCGGAAGCTGACTGCATTATTCTTTGCATTTACTCAGCTAAACAAATCTGAGATGTCATCCAATTAAAAAAAACAGAAAACCACGAGAAACAACCAAAAAAACCTGAAATGGGATTCTAATTGGAAAACAATGAGTATGTTAATTTTTAGAACATGAAATATCTATTTGTTCAGAACTTGTTTTATAACCATCAATCAATAAGACCTTCTAGTCTTCTTCATCAAGGCTCTGTGCCTCATTAAATTTTTTTCCTATGTATTCCCATGTCTTCTGGACTTTGCACTATTATGAATGAACAACTGTCCTTTTCACATTTCTAAGTACTTATTCTAGTGTAGCAGATTCAGATTTTATGTATTTTTACAATATCTAGCCACCTTACCAAATTCTTTTTTGATTCCGATAGTACTTTTTAAAATCTCTTGGATTTTCTAGAAACATAATCCTATCACAACGTTTTCCCTCTCCTTTTCCAATCTGTCATTGCATTTCCTGCATTTATTAACATCACTGAGAATCATTAACAGTGACAGCAGATACCTATCTGGTGTCTGATTTGAACTGAAAATGTTTTCAGAGCTGCCATTTAGAAAAAGGATTTGATACTGAGTTTAGTAAGTAACTTTTAATATACTCAAGCAACTATTTACTCTTGGTCCTGGGACCACCCCCCACGCCAATGTCATTCCCACATGTTCTCTGTTGTCCTTTCATAGTCTAATCCACACACATGTCTGTGTGATTCACACACTCCTGGGGGCCCCCACCCAGCCTGGCTGGAACACGCAGTGGCAAACCTGACCCGCGCCCTCCTGTTTGGCTGAGCCCTGGTTCACGTCACTGAATCACAAACAGGATGGTACCCGAGCAGTGGAGAGCAGGGGTCGGTCTCCTCTGAGACCATGCTGGCCATAGCACCGCCCTGGCTGATTCTGCTAGGCTCACCCTCTCGCCCTCCTGCAGACAACAAGCCTGACGTGTCCTCGCTGATTCTGCTGACCTGTCAGACTTGACCACTACACTCCCATAGGTTATTCCAACCCAACTTGTCTGCGTTTAGACCCTGTCACAACAGGCTGCTTGATCACTCAGAGTAAACATGATAAGGGCACTTTCTCGTGAGTTTTAGAACTGTGACCTCCATGTACATGTCTAGGGAAAAGAAATTTGTTAAGAAAACTTTTAAGCTGAATTTACCTAAGAGAATACATTTATCACTCTAGCCTAGTGCCTCCCAAACTTGTCTGTGTGTTAAAACCACTGGGGATCTTTTTAAATTCCAAAACCCAGACCACACACTCCAAACCAGTTAAAATACAATCTCGAGGGGTGTAGGACCCAAGTAGCAGGATTTTCAGAAGCTCCCTGGAGATTTTGGAATGGCTTTCCAGGTGGCGCTAGTGGTAAAGAACCCATCTGCCAATGGAGGAGACGTAAGAGGTGGGGGTTCAATCCCTGGGTCGGGAAGATCCCTTGGAGGAGGGCATGGCAACCCACTCCAGTATTCTTGCCTGAAGAATCCTGTGGACAGAGGGGTCTGGCGGGCTACAGTCCATGGGTCGCAAAGAGTCAGACATGACTGAAGCAACCTAACAGAGTTCAGTGTGTGGACAAGTTGGGACCACTGCTTTCATCAGAATTCCCTGAGCTGCAAAGAGCATCACAGATCAGGAGCACTGACACCAGCACTGCTGCCCTCCCGCCCTCAAATCCAAAGCTTCGTGAAACACACCTGGTGTGAGGAGCAAAGATCCATCAGGAGTGAAACTCAGTCTACGGAAGAACGACTTCATGCTGTCATCATGGAACATCCGGTAACTTCTCGCCTATAGCACACGAAATTTACATGTTACCCCGAATCTTCGCATTCACACTAAAGGCTTACCAATTCATATCTCTTTTTACTACATATTGTCATTCATTTATTACTGACATAATAATAGGTATAAAATTGAAACACATTACAAATCAAATAATCACACAGAACTGCAAAGGCCATCACTCTTGAACAGATTTCCCATTTTGGGTAAGGAAAGCTTTAAGTGTGTGTGTGTGTGTCTACGTGTTTGAAAGTGAAAGTGTTAAGTCACTCAGTTGTGTCTGCCTTTTTGTGACCCGCCGGATTCTTCTGTCCCTGGGATTCCCCAGGCAAGAATACTGGAGTGGGTCTACATGTTTGTGTGGTTCAACAATTATTAAATGAATACACCTCTGTAAGAACACACCCATGCTGTGAGCAGAGCTTTGCCTGGGAAATGAGACTGGGAAAAGGCAGGAAGGTGACGAGGAGCCCTTTTGTTTGTTATCTGTGTGTATATATTTAGAATCTCCCATTGAATGAACCCTTTTTAAACAGAAAATAGTAACCCCATCATCTTCCCAGACAATGCTGCTTGAACCCCTACATGGAATAGTTTTTGCTGCCATGCGCCTGATACTTTAGAAACACTAAGCATTTAATCTTCCAGACCCAGCCCAGCCCGCGGCCCCAGGACTGCTTTGCAGTCAGCCCTCCTTTGCTCCAGTAACCAACTTGCTCCCTTTCAGCTCCTTGCCTGCCTTAGTACTCAGTCATCTGACATCTCAGGACTAGGATGCTACCTTTATTTGCCGCTTCTTCCCAAAGATCAGAACCTTTCCCATTCCTGGGTACCAGCCCAGTGGCCCTTGTTGCCCCTCTACCTGCCTGGAAGGTGCCAGACCCCCCTCCTTCCTGTTACATAGGGCTGGGATGCTCCTGGTCAGCGGTTCCCGACCCTCACTGCACCTCAGGCCCCGGGGCCCTGGCTGCCTCCAGCCACATGAAACGCATCCCTGGGGCGCTGTCCAGGTGACTCCACAGCGCCCTCAGGACTGGAAACCACTGAGCTCCATCGCCTACTCCTCCCCTGGCCCCCAGAGGTCCCCACCCCCACTCAGATCAGCCCAGCCCCCCACGCTGAGACGCGGCAGTCTGCGAGGAAGTCACCGCAGTTCCGGTGTCAGGGCCTGGCCACCAGGGGCTTAGCCGCAGGGTACAGAGGTGCTCACGACTTCCTGGGTCCCAACTTAAGCACGGGTGGGATGGGATGTCAGCCCTGTACCTCTCCTTCGGCCCCCACTCCAGACAGCATCTTGGAGACGTTAAAAGCCACGCGCTTCTTCTGTGTGCCATACACTCTCAGGACCCTGGACGGAGAAGACAAGTCTGACCCACCTCTTCCAGTGAGTGAACTGCGCTCCACACAGGAACAGCCGCGTACCAGCTAGAGGCTGCTTCAGCAGCTGGCAGCCTGCAAACCCACACAGGAACAGCCGCGTACCAGCTAGAGGCTGCTTCAGCAGCTGGCAGCCTGCAAACCCACACAGGAACAGCCGAGTACCAGCTAGAGGCTGCTTCAGCAGCTGGCAGCCTAGTCGAGTGGTTAGAACTCGGCCCTTCCACTGCAGAGGGCATGGGTTCAATCCCCGGTTGGGGAACTAAGATCCCACATGTCACTGGGGCAAAGCCAAAGAATTCACATATATCAGAAAAATAAATGACATCTGGAATGTTACAGGAGATTCTACAAAAGATAAACACTAATTCTTCCTTAGTGTTTTCATTCCAGGGTTATCTGAAATCCAGTTTGTTATACTTAAAAGTAGCTGTACGTGCTTAGTCACTCAGTTGTGTCTGACTCTGAGACCCCATGGCCTGTAGCCCACCAGGCTCCTCTGTCCATGGAATTCTTCAGGCAAGAACACTGGGGTGGGTTGCCATTTCCTACCCCCGGGGATCTTCCCCACTGAGATTGAACCCGGATTTCCCGTACTGCAGGCAGATTCTTAACCATTGAAGTCACCAGGGGAGGCACTTCTCAATTATGGCAGCAATAAACCTAACAGAAGACTTTAGTAAAATTGGGCTCTATATGCTCTATACTAAAACTGTCATTATGTATTTTTTTTCTGGTGATAATTTTCAATCTAAAACAAATCGGCAAATGGCTAGAGCAGGACCTTTATAAATCTGAGAAGCAAAGCCGAAGAGACATGAAAAAGGATTAAGACTAGTGAGCAATATGATTGGTAACTCTGTCGTTTTGTTTTTGTTTTTTTGTAATTTGGCTAGGCCAGGTCTTTGTTGCAGCATGCAGGGTCTAGTTCCCTGACCAGGAATTGAACCCAGGTCCCCTGCAGTGGGAACACTGAGTCTTAACTACCGGACCACCGATGAAATCCTCCTGGCTTTTTTTCTAATTCTTTGTTCCAAGAACACAATTAAATTATTGTGTTTAATTACACCAGTAAATACAGCAACAAGACCTCCTTGAAACAAGGAGGAAAACAAGACAAAATATCTTCTTTCAAATTAATTCAAACGGAGTTATTAAAATCACTATAGCAGGAAACACTAATCAAAAAAATGAAATAAATATCCAAACTTACTACTAGGTATCTCTTCTTTCCTGAGTCATATTTATTAAAGACTTTCTCTTTAAAAGTTGCTAAAGAAGTTCAGATTTAACTCAGATATTTTTGCATTCATTCACCCACTCAATAAAGATTCATTAAGTACTAACTTTGTGTAAGGTTCTTGTCCTAATCAGTTTCCAATTTCTTACTCTGTTTTATGGATAACAGTAAAATAAAACACTTTTTACGAAATCAGGAACAAAAGAATCAAAGCTAGACTGTGGTTTATATTTGTTAAGTTGTAATAAAAATACCTCTGAAGAAAATTTCAAGCTAACAGAGATGAGGACACCTCATCAAATACTAACTTACCTGTCACAGCTCAGGGTAGCAACATATTGACCCAAAGGATCCCAGGTTACTCCTTGTACGTAACTTTTATGTTCATTAAAAATGGAGATCTTCTGGCCTATGGATAAAGCATACAACATATTACTAAAACCTGCTAATGCACAAATGGTATAAACTACAGTTTCAGTATTATTCCTTTGCTGTTCCATCATTCAGCAGCGGGCGATTGAGCCTCTGTACCAAACCCCACGTCAGGCTCTGGGGTCAAAGATAACTTCACATGGTCCCCCCTCCAGGGAGCTCAGAGCTCCCAGTGGCAGCTATGCACATACAATCCCCCTGGGGAGCAAGCGGACAGACAGAATATGAATGGCAGGGGCGCGGGGGGGAACAGACCACCCCCGGGCACACACACGGACACCACGGGGAGGACGAGGGGCAGCCAACACAGCAGGGGTGAGGGTGGAGAAGGCGCGAGCTCGGAGTTCAGGTCTCCAGGTCAGGCAGGACGTAGGGGGCCAGTGGGGAGAGAAGGCAGCATTCTGAGCAAACCCACAGGGTGAAAGCCAGCTTGGCGTTCGGGGAAATGACAGGCAGCTGAGACCACTGGTGGTGCAACACCCCTGTGCATGCAAGAAGGGTTCTGGGGGCTCACAGTGTGGCTCAGAGCAGTGCTGAGCTGGGAAGTGACCTGCATGTTCAGGATGAAGCTGAGGGCTGAAGAGAGCACACAGAGCAAGTGTCACTAGTTGGAGGGGACCGGAGACCGGGCGAGAGACAAGGGCCTGCCCCAGAGGGAGGCGGGCCAGGATGGGAGGGGCTGCGGGGGAGAGACGTGGAGGATAAAACCAGCCGCACACAAAGACGACCTGGAAGAAGCGAGGAGGGAGTTAGGAAGCCTTGGCCAGACTTTGAGAAACAAAACTCTTCTGGGGGGAGCGCCCTACACCTGGTCACTCACTCTGGCGACCTCCTCACCTCTCACTCACTTGACCCTCTGCCGGGGGCACCCGCTCCTCACGCCCGCCACTGCCCCCTAAAATCGCAGGCCCCGAGGTCGCCAGGGACCTTAATGTACACACCACAGATGTCAGACTAACTGTCCGTCCCCCTCCCCTTCATGAGGCTCTTCTCTGTGAGTCTGCTGAGATTAGGGTTGAAGAAGCAGCTTCGGGAGATCTTCGGAGGTTTGGAGGGGATGATACTGGGGAAACAGGGGTGGGATTAGACCTCACAAGCAAAAGGGGCAGGGATCTTGGGACCACCCACCCGCCCCCAAAGGCTGCTGGGGACACATCTGCAGGGGCCCGGGGTGCAGCGTGGGGGTCTGTGACCAGCTGTGCTCAGTCTGGGACCCGGACCACAGTTGATCCTGAGCTGGGGTTTGTCTTGGAAGAGCAGGTGGATGAAGATGGTCTGTGTTCGTACACAAACCCCTTGGGGAGCAAGCTGGACAGGGAGAACATGAGAGGCCAGAGGGACCGACAGACCAGGAAACAGAGGGCTCAGCGGACTGCGGGGCTCCAGGAAGGAGATGAGCAAGAAGCGGAGGTACTGAGGGACCAGCCGGAGATGTGATGAGGGGGCAGGCCACCTGGCCAGATCTGTCGAAGGATAGGCCTTCAGAGACAGACGCCCAGCTCTGGGACAGCAGACAGCAGAAAGGACAAGAGCAGACCAAGTGGGCATTCTTCTTCAAGGGCCATCTTGAGGATGATGACTTCAACTCTGGAGTTAAAATCACTGCAGATGGTGACTACAGCCATGAAATTAAAAGAAACTTGCTCCTTGGAAGAAAAGTTATGACAAACCTAGACAGCATATTAAAAAGCAGAGACATTACTTTGCCAACAAAGGTCCACCCAGTTGGTGATGGGCAGTAGAGGGAATCACAGCATATGCATATTCACAAATACAAAAACTTACTGACTTTGAATAACCTTACCCATGTTACACATTTAAACAAAGGCTTACAATAAAGTCTTAATACTCCTTAAAAACTGCTCCTCCCCCTGACCCTGCCCCCTTCTCTGTTGTCCCAGGATCAGCATGTCACGTGCTAATAAGTAAAATCAGGTTGCTCTACTACTCAAAGCCCTTCGGCAGCTCACGATTACACCTGGGATACAACCTGAGACCCGACCCGGGTGCCCCGGCCCACCACCACCCTCCAGCCTTGGGTCCTCCTTCCCCCTCCTGCTCCTGCACACCCTCGATTTCCTATTGCCTAGACACAACAAGCCGTTCCGGCCACAGGGCCTCCGCACCTGCTGCTCCCACAGGCGGGAACACTGTTCCCTGAAACAATGCACACAGCTCGCTCCCCAACTTCATTCCAGTCTCTGTTAAAACTCTACGTGTTCAGAGAAGACTTCTTGATCACCTGACTACTCTCTGACTCCCTTGGGGTGCTATCACTTCCTAACATCGGATGGATGTTTGCGTACTTATTCACATCCTGCTAGAACACGGCCATCATATTCGGGTATTTTCCAGCACCTGCAAGAGTGCCCAGTGTGCTGGCAGTGTTCAAGGTCATTACAACTGGCTTCAGAGGTGCTGGATAGAGTGTCCGCTGACACCGAAATATCAAGGTTTGGGGAAAGAAGATGAGGATACTGGTCACGCCGGTCCTCCCCTCGGCCGAAATGTCAGGGACTGATTAGAAAGAGTGTGACACAGAGGAGGCAAGAGAGGCTGCTTCAGTGGACGGCACGGAACTATTAACAGAAGAGAGGCTTTTACAGCATGGACGGAAACCGGGTGGATGCAGCGCTGAGACTGCGGGGGATGCCAACGCCACAGCCTGACCCCTGAAATGGGTATTTGGGCTGGTGGAGAATGATCAGATAAAGGAGAGGAGAGGAAGAGGTTTGGAAGAAAACACCAAGCTTGACTGCAGGACTGAGGCGAGGAAAAGTGGTTAGGCATTGGCCACCACTGCTATTTTCAAACTGTAGTTAACTTCTCATATGTTTACCTCCCACCTCCTCCTACACCCCTCCCAAACAGGTTCTTTCAAAGCAGCGAGGTATCCTTTGCTTTATTTGATGTCCTGAAATGTAAACTTGACCACAAAGTGAAGTGAAGTGAAGTGAAAGTCCGACTCTTTGTGACTCCAAACACTATACAGTGCATGAATTCTCCAGGCCTGAATACTGGGGTGGGTAGCCTTTCCCTTCTCCAGGGGATCTTCCCAACCCAAGGATCGAATCCAGGTCTCCCACACTGTGGGTAGATTCTTTACCAGCTGAGCCACAAAGGAAACCTGATCACACCTACCCCTATATTGAGCAGGCAATGCCCCACTGATGATGATGACTTGATAACCTTTCAAGATCCTCAGGTCCGTGAAGGCCGGGATCAGCCCTCTCCCTCCCCACCCCCTGCCCCGTCATGTCTGCACCCCCAGGTGTGCGGCGTCTACCTTGCTTTGGCATCAGCAACTCAGGACTCATAACACCACTGCTAAACCTCATACATTCCAACTGCATCCCTGGCATACGGGGATAACCCTTAAGCTGTCGAGCTAAACTTCTGTTTCAGTCCGCTAAAGAAACTCTTCTGAAGCGTTTCATGGTTCGGCTTTTCAGACACTTGGAATGTCGCTCCCCTAATAATGGGCTTTCGTGGTGGCTCAGACAGCAAAGACCCTGTCTGCAACGCAGAAGACCTGGTTCCAACCCAAGGTCGGGAAGATCCCCTGGAGGAGGAAATGGCAACCCGCTTCAGTACTCTTGCCTGGGAAATTCCATGGGCAGAGGACCTGGCGGGCCATAGTACACAGGGTCGCAGAGAATCGGACATGACTGAATGACTAACACTTGCACTTTTCCCCTGACAACAGCAAAAACACATCAGCTACCTTTACTAACGTCCCACATGATGGCCGTGTTGTCCACAGAGGCAGAAGCCATTAAATTCCCATCAGTTGCCCAGCAAATATCATACACGTCTTCTAAGTGGCCCCTAGAATCCAAAGAAGAAAAAGAAAAGAAAAAGCAATTCTTGTCTTGAGGAGAGAAAAATAAACAAATGTCAAAAATTTAAAGGCAAACTCAGGGCCCACGCATTGGGATTGTAGAATTCCCACTAGAACTACATTAGCTATATAGCTATATTAGCTGTAGCTATAAACTACTACCTTCAAGGAGATTTGTATCTTTAAAACTGATTCAAGTTTACTAAAAAAATTTTATGAGAGAAACTAGGAATATCTATTTTAATGGCTTTTAATTAAAAATCCATTTTAATCCATATTTTTATCTTTTTAGGCCAGGGGTCCCCAACCCCCAGGCCATGGACTGCTACCAGTCTAGGCATTTAGACTTTTGTATCTCACTTAAAACCTTTAAGTGACTGCTACCAGTCCATGGCCTGTTAGGAACTGGTCTGGATGGCAGGTGGTGTTCTCACCGAGTGAAGCTTCGTGTGTATTTACAGCCACTCCCTGGCGATCGCATTACTGCCTGAGCTCCGCCCACTCTCAGGTCAGCGGTGGCTCTGGATCCTCACAGGGCCGAGAACCCTGCGCTGAACGGTGCTTGCGAGGGACCCAGGTGGCAGGCTCCTTGTGAGAATTTAATGCCTGAAGATCTGACGTGGAGCTCAGGCCATGATGTGAGCACTGGGGAGTGGCTATGAACACAGATTATCATCAGCGGGCAGGATGACCGTGCAAGACCATGATGAATCAACTGTCTGCAGACGCATATGCAAACTCTATCACTGAGCAGCAAGTGACAACTGTATAATTATTTCATTATATATTATAGTGTAATAATAATAATAAAGTGCACAATAAATGTAATGCACTTGAATCAGCCCGAAATCACCCCCACCCCCAGTCTGTGGAAAAACTGTCTTCCACGAAACCCGTCCCTGGTACCAAAAAGGTTGGGGAACCACTGATTTAAACTATACCTGCATTACTGTCTTGCATAAGAAAAAGTTTTAAGTGAGATACAAAAGTCTAAATGCCTATCAGCTGAATGCATTCAGGTAGGTCCTAAAGCTAACACCTTCGCAGGTCCCTCCCAAGGTTACCTCAGGGTTTTTACAACAGTCCAGTTCTCCTTGTTCAGCTGAGCCTCATCCTCGTCCTGAAAGGCAACCTGTTCCGGCTCCTTGTTATCATTCACCTTCCAGAGCAGAATGACAGCGTCTGCAGAGTGAGTCAATTAAATGCAAGTCACGTTTTCCTGCACGGCTTTTCATTTCTGGGTTTTTAGGACATTAAACAATATCTACAGACACTATGGCCATGAGGATTTACCTCTAAGAATTCGGGCAGGAAAAGCAAGTTTCCCTTCCGAACAAAAACTCCAAAATCAAACTCATACCAGATCAGAGTTATACAAGGTCACCTTAAACAGAAGGGTCCCCGGGCCAGCAAAACATGACTGCAAAACGACTCTATTAACAAATACACAGGCATAACCTGACAGGGGAGAAAAAGCAACAGAGGCACCAACACAGGCGTTGGCAAGTCATTCCCCGCTGTGCAGCCTACAGAGTCCCTTACTGTCTAGACGCCTTGGTCCCCTCACCAGGCAGGCTACAGTCCGGGGGGTCACAAAGAGTTGGACACGACTGGGCAACTGAGCACACATGAGCACATAGGCCACTGTGAGGATTAAATGAGGTAGATGTATAAAGCACATACCACACGATGCCCGGCACATGGTCAGCCCATATATGCGTGCGTATGGTAAGTTGCTTTAGTCGTGCCTGACTCTGCGACCCTATGGACTTGTCCTATGTCCATGGGATTCTCCAGGCAAGAATACTGGAGTGGGTTGCCATTCATAACCTGACAGGGGAGAAAAAGTAACAGAGGCACCAACACAGGCGCTGGCAAGTCATTCCCCGCTGTGCAGCCTACAGAGTCACTTACTGTCTAGACGCCTCGGTCCCCTCACCAGGCAGGCTACAGTCCGGGGGGTCACAAAGAGTTGGACACGACTGGGCAACTGAGCACACATGAGCACATAGGCCACTGTTAGGATTAAATGAGGTAGATGTATAAAGCACATACCACACGATGCCCGGCACATGGTCAGCCCATATATGCGTGAGTATGGTAAGTTGCTTTAGTCGTGCCTGACTCTGCGACCCTATGGACTTGTCCTATGTCCATGGGATCCTCCAGGCAAGAATACTGGAGTGGGTTGCCATGCCCTTCAGGGGATGTTCCTAACCCAGGGATTGAACCCGCGTCTCTTATGTCTCCTGCATTGGCAGGCAGGATCTTTAGTGCTAGTGACCTGGGAAGACACTCTCATGTATGTGTCAGGAGGAGACTGAAGGAGCTGGCTATATGGACACATGTGTCTGGACCCGTGCTGCCTTGCCAGCTGCCCAGCGTCTCCCCCACCCCGGGCAGCTCCCACCCCCCATCTCTCCCTCAACCACACACTGGGCATCAGGGCACTCAGTTCCACCAGGTCTCTTTTCCTCCTCCTGCCAACAACATCTGAGATTTCTATTTTCTTTTTATTTTCACTTCTAGACTATTCTGGTTTTAAGAGCATGATAAAAAGATTTACTTTTTCTGTATAACTTTATGCGGTTTAAACACAAGCAGAAAATACGAATCGATTTGTGCCCACCAAACAAACAGAGGGCCATTTCAACAACACTTCCCAGGCCAATTAATTCATTAATTACACAGAGACACGGAACAGACTATGATCACTTACAGATACTAAGCCAACAAGCCTAACAAGGTCAGGTCAGTTGTCTTGGGACTTAGAATGGTAAGCACCGACCTACCTGTCTCCAACCAGCCCAGAGGGAGTAAATGGGAAAGGGGTCACTTTCAAACAGCTCTTCTCAATTTAAGCTTACTGTCTTCCATCTGTTCACACTCCCCATAACATCATTTTACTGAACTATCTAAATGACAGCTTTAAAGGGTCAAGGCACCTCTGAAATGAGAAAGTATATCTAGCTCAAATCTCAGTATTGACTGAGACATGTGTGTATCTGATTTCTGAAGACTTGAAGTGAAATACTCACCATCCCCTCCCGATGCTAAAATTTCCCCATTTGGAGAAAAACGCACGACATTGACCGCTTTGGTATGGCGAGCAAGATTGGACAAAAATTCAACAATGGCCTTTCCATCTGGTCCTTTCTCTACCTTCCAGATCTGTTGATACAAAAACACGCATTCAGAGAAACATGTAGTGAGCAGGCTTCATACTGCACCTATTAAAACAACCCTGCACTGATTTTCAGAAAGAAAATTTAGTTTCTCTTTTGAAATGTAAGAGGAAGTAACTCCTATCTGAAACATAAACCACCAGTGCCACTGCCTCCCACCTCTTTCTTGTGCAAATTCTTCCCCTAGAGGAAACTGGCTCAGGGTTCTGAAATAATAACATCACCACATCCAGTGACATCAGTCTAGGTAACAGGACCCTAGGAAGAAAGTTGCTCTTTTGCCTTCATTGTTGACAATGAAGGCCCTGACAATTTATCTGCCTCAGCTAGATACACATATACATACACTTTGTGGCTCAGCTGTGTCCGACTATTTGTGACCCCATGGACTGTAGTCCACCAGGCTCCTCTGTCCATGGGATTCTCCAGGCAAGAAGACTAGAGTGGATTTGCCATTTCCTCTTCCAAGGGATCTTCCCCACCCAGGGATCCAACCGGCATCTCCTGCCTTTGTCAGGCGGATTCTTTACCGCTAGTGCCACCTGGGAAGCCCCTGGGCTAGGTAACTTCATTAGTACAATAATTTGTGATGAGTGCCTGCAGTGCGCATGCTCAGTCCTGTCCGACTCTTGGCAACCCCATGGACTGTATAGCCCACGAGGCTCCTGTGTCCATGGGATTTCCCAGGTTAAAAAATACTGCAGTGGGCTGCCATTTCCTCCTCCAGGGGGATCTTCCCGACTCAGGGATCGAACCTGCGTCTCCGCATTGGCAGATTCTTTACCGCCAAGCCGGCCACCTGGGAAGCCCTGAGTTTAACAGTCGTTATAAAAACACAAGAGTGGAGAATGCCGCTTCAATGTTGCTTCCTGGGCCCTTCCCACTCCCCATGCCCCGCTTACCCTGACAGCCGTGTCCACCCCCGCGGAGGCCAGCCGGTGGATCCTCCCGGCGGCTCCATACTGGAAGTCCAGGCTGTACACCGGCTCCTTGTTGTGCCAGGCGATCTCGCAAGTGATGACTTTCATCCTCCAGAGTCTTCAAGGAGCGAAACACAGTTCCTCAGGGGCGGGGTGGGTGGTAGGTGGCGGGGGGCGGGCGTTGGTTCTCCAAAGACGGAGGAGAGAGAGCTGCAAATGGTTGGTGACGAGGTGAATCTTCGAGCCGGGGACCAGGCACTGAACGCTGAAGCCTCAGCCAGGAGCCCTGCCGACCATTAAAGACGCTGCCCTGGGAGAGGATGTCAGTGCGGCCCTCCGACGCAACCCTCGCAGTTCCACCTCAAATGGTTCCCGGAGTCCGCGGCTGTTTTCAGTTTATTCTCCGAGTACGTCCGGAAAAGCAACGAGAAACGGACACCCAGGGAGGGGAAAGCAAGGCCCGGGCCGGGCCGGGCCAGGCTGAGGGGGCGGCGAGCCCGGGGGCCTGGGGGTGGGCGCCGCGGGGAGACGGCTACCGGGGGTGGGGGAAGGCCGGGGCCGCGGGGGAAGGGCTGCTCGGCAAGCCGACCGAGGCCGGGGACGAGGGGGCAGCCGGAACCGGACTTGACTGGGACCTGGCTGAGAGGAGGCCTCCGGGGACACTGGGGCCGGGCTGGAGGCCCGCCGCGCACACGCGCGCTTCTCCGAAGATCTTCCGGGTCCTCGCGGCTGGCCCTCGCAGAGGGCCGCTCGCCACCCCCACCCGGCCCCTCACCCCTCACCCAGGCCCGGCCGGGAAAGCGCGGGGACGCGAGAGTCCGCGCGGGAGAAGCAGTACCTGCAGGGACGCGCTCAGGCCGCTGAGCCGCCAGCTCCCGCCGCCGCGCGCGCGCAGCTTCCCGCGCGCTGCAGGCCCCGCCTCCTCGTGGGGCGGGGCTCTCGAGACTGCCCGCCTCGTGGGCGGGTCTCCACAGAGCCCCCGCCCCGCCGCGGAGGCGTGACCAGCGCCCTCGGACACTGGGCTGGCTCCCACCGGTTTATTATTTCCCTGCGGACCGACGCATCGGTGAAAGAATGGAGTCCGATCACTTCTTCCCTTATTAATTTATTCTTTTATCAAACATTTACTGAGCATCTGCCATGTGCTGGACTCTATGCTGGACCTGGATACACAGTGGAGAGCGTAGCTGATGCAGACTTCAGTTCAGTTCAGTCGCTCAGTCGTGTCCGACTCTTTGCGACCCTAGGGTCGGCAGCACCGCCAGGCTTCTCTGTCCATCAACAACTCCCGGAGCTTATTCAAACTTATGTCCATTGAGTCGGTGATGCCATCCAACCATCTCATCCTCTGTCGTCCCCTTCTCCCGCCCTCAATCTTTCCCAGCATCAGGGTCTTTTCCAGTTAGTCAGTTGTTCGCATCAGGTGGCCAAAGTTTTGGAGTTTAAGCTTCAGCATCAGTCCTTCCAATGAATATTCAGGACTGATTTCCTTTAGGATGTCATTGAGTCGGTGATGCCATCCAACCATCTCATCCTCTGTCGTCCCCTTCTCCCGCCCTCAATCTTTCCCAGCATCAGGGTCTTTTCCAGTGAGTCAGTTGTTCGCATCAGGTGGCCAAAGTTTTGGAGTTTAAGCTTCAGCATCAGTCCTTCCAATGAATATTCAGGACTGATTTCCTTTAGGATGGACTCCTTGGATCTCCTTGCAGTCCAAGTCTCTCAAGTCTTCTCCAACACCACAGTTCAAATACAGACTTACCCTCAGGAGAATTTGCGGTCTGGTAAAAGAAAAAGGAGGGCCCTCCTGTAGGACAGCTGGGAGCACTGTAACTCTGAGACTCACCCAAGACTACCACGACTTTCACTAGTGCAGCGAATATTTGACAGCTGTAAGCTGTTTTGGCCACTAGTGTTTCAAAATAAATAAACCACAGAAACAGTCTTCGGGCCTCCTGTTGTGTATCCAAATAATAATTATGATTAAAAAATAAAGTGAAAAGGAGTATGTCAAGTTGTGTATTGCCACCCTGCTTATTTAACTTATATGCAGAGTTCATCATGTGAAATGCTGGGCTGGAGGAATCACAAGCTGGAATCAAGATTGCTGGGAGAAATATCAGTAACCTCAGATGTGCAGATGACACCACAGATGACACCACTCAAACAGCAGAAAGACAAGAGGAACTAACGAGTCTCTTGATGAGGGTGAAAGAGGAGAGTGGAAAAGCTGGCTTAAAATTCAACATTCAAAAAACAAAGATTATGGCATCTGGCCCCATCATGTCATGGCAAATAGATGGGGGGAAAGTGGAATCAGTGACAGATTTTATTTTCTTGGTCTCCAAGTTCACTGTGGACAGTGACTGCAGGCATGATTAAAAGACGCTTGCTCCTTGGAAGAAAAGCTATGACCAACCTAGACAGCATATTTAAAAACAGAGACATCATTTTGCCAACAAATGTCCACATAGTTAAAGATATGGTTTTTCCAGTAGTCTTGTATGGATGTGAGAATTGGACCATCAAGAAGGTCCCGCTGCTGCTGTGTGTCTCTCTTGTCGACAGTGAATTGAGAACCTTCAATTCTCATTTCCCAGAGCTGCTCATCCCAAAACTCTTATCACTTGAAGCCCACTTTAAATGTCTCCTTCTCTTCAAACTTTCTTTGAGCCTTCAAACCTAAAGTTCACATTCAGGACTGTAAAAGCACACTGTTCCTTTCATGTTCCTTTTCACTGTATTTTGTTGCTGCTGTTGTTCATTTGCTAAGTCATGTCTGACTCTTTGCAACCCCATGGACTGCTGCCTGCCAGGCTTCCCTATACTTCACTATCTCCCAGAGTCTGCTCAGACTCATGTCCATTGATGCCATCCAACCATTCCATCCTCTGTCACCCCCTTCTCCCTTTGCCATCAATCTTTTCCAGCATCAGGGTCTTTTTTGCTAGTCAAACGCTTTTAGCCAGTTTTATGAAAGGTATACAAATTGTCTACAAATGATGTCTCATGTTGATGAATATGACTGGATGCTCCTTAAGTCTACAGGAAGCTAGGACGATGTAGTTTTTAGATGTTCTCTTGAGTTATGGCTAGGATTTAGAGAACTTGGAGTGGGAATGACTAATATGTGCTGTAGATAATCTAATTGTTTGAAAAGCACAGATAAGAGGGGGGAAGAAAAGGAAAATTCCACTCCTAGGTATGTACCCCAAAGAATTAAAAGCAAAGACACAAATAGGTATTTATACAGTAGTGTTCATAGCAGGATTATTAATAGCACAAAGTGGAACCAACGTAAACATCCATGGATGGATGAATGGATAAACAAAATATGGTACATACATACAATGGGGTATCACTCAGCCTTAAAAAGAAATGAAACTATTGCAAACTATTATTTGCAACAATAGAGATGAACCTTAAAAATGTTATGCAAAGTAAAATAAGCCAGACCCAAAAGAACAAATATGTTATGATTCCACTTAGATGAGGTATCTAGAATAAGAAATTCGTAGAGACAGAAAATAGAGGCTACCAGGGGACGGATGGGGATGGGGGAGTTATTGTTTACAGGATACAGAGTTTATTTGAGATGATGATGAAGTTCTGGAAATGGATGGTGGAGGTAGCTGCCCAATGATATGAATGAACTTCATGCCACTGAATCATACACTTTAAAATGGTATATATTTCCACAATTAAAAATGAGTCAATATTTACAATCACTCAAAAATTATTACCAGAGGGATAAGTTAATGGGAATATAGCTAAAACAAGACTGACCATGAGTTGGAAACTGTTGAAGTGATGGGTACACAGAGTTCAGAGTTTCTGACTTTTCTTCTTATTGGAGTACAGTTGATTTACAATGTTGTCTGTTCCAAGTGTACAGCAGAGTGAGTGTGATAGATATATCCATTTTTCCCATACAGGCTGTCACAGAGCACTGTGAAGTTCCCCGAGCTATACTGTAGGTCCTTGTTGGTTGTCGATTTTATCCTTAGTGGTGTGTGTACTTCAACCCCAATCTCCCAATTGACCCCTCCCTCTTCCTTTTATCCCCCGGTAACCATAAATTTGTTTTCCACATCTATGTATCTATTTGTTTTGCAGCAAGTTCATTTGTATCCTTTTTTTAGGTTCTACACATAAGCAATCATGTATTTGTCTTTCTCATAGTTCACAATGACCCACTCTAGGTCCCAACCATGTTGCTCCATGTGGCATTATTTCATTCTCTTTATGGCTAAGTAATATTCCATCGCATTTATGGACCACATCTTCTTTATCCATTCTTCTGTTGATGGACAATTAGGTCACTTCCATGTCCTTGCTATTGTAAACAGTGCTGCAGTGAACAGTTTTTGTACTTTTGCATACATCTGAGAATCCCCATTATGGAGGGAATTCCCTGGTGGTCCAGTGGTTAGGACCTTGTGCTTCTACTGCTGAAGGCCCTGGTTCCATTTCTGGTCAGAAAACCAAGATCCCATAAGCCACCCAGCATGACCGCCCCCCAAAAAACCCAAGAATTTCCATTAGAGAGCTTAAACTATCTGATACTGAAGTAAACAATTTAAGGACATAGAAAATTAACAGAAAATGAGAAACTACTGGTTAAAGTGATTGCAGTGAATACTATTATCGTATTAGTTTACATAGTGTAAATATAAATAATACAGACAACTCCCGAGTTACACAGCAAGCTGGGAAAAGCACCCTGCAGTGTCTCAGCTGTCTGCACAGGGAGACACTGCACCAAAGGACTCGCAAAAACATGAGACAACTGTCTATTCAGAAAAAGAAAACAAAAAGCCCCAATTTACTTCCAGTCAGCCCTGGTTCAGATCACAGCACAAACTTTGAAAACTGGCCACATAGTTCAAAACACAGGCCAAGATTTTCAACAGTATTTAACAGGAAACCCATAGGTAAGACTGTTGACTCAGGTCTCAATACTTTGTAGATATAAAGCACCATTACACTGTTATGAGGATACAGCTTAGTTCTGGATTATACCTACCTATTAAAGACACTCAAGCTAAGGATTAGCCAGGCTGGGGTAGAAACTTCTTTTGAGTCTATGTATTGTTACCATAATATTGAGTCCTGACTGCTTTGCAAGAAATTAACACTGAACCTTCAACTTGTTTTATCTGTTTGAAATAGGTAATTGAATTTCCTCAGCCCATTCTTAGAAGAATGCTTGTGCAAGAAATTTAACTTGTGTGATTCACACATTATAACGGTTTGGCTTGAATTTACCAGGACTGTCTTCTCTGGTCTTCAATTTCTCCCCAGAGGCCAGTATATGTAAATTAACTTTGTGATCACAAAATTAATCCTGGAAAACAGTACGTATGTGTTTTCCTCTATGCCAAGTGGAAGGATATCAATGGCATTCTTTGTGAGCTATGACCAATGTCCAAAAGACAAATACTGTTGACCCTTGAACACAGGCTTGAACTGCCTGGGTTCACTTATATGCGGATTTTTTTCAATATTGGAAATTTGGGGGGGAGATTACAACTTAAAAATACAGTTGAGCTGCATGACCTAGAAATATCTAAAAATCTGAGAAACAGTTGGAGGAGAGGGCTGAATTAGTTGGTTGGCAACAATATATACACATTACTATATGTAAAACAGATAACCAAAAAAGAGCTACTGTATAGCACAGGGAACTATACTCAATATTTTGTAATAACCTGTAAGAGAAAAGAATCTAAAAATATACATATATAACTGAATCACTGTGCTGTACTCCTGAAATTAACATGTTGTAAATCATTTATACTTCAGAATTCATATATAACAGTGCATGATATAATGAAAATTTAGGTATGTCATAAAAGTATAAAATATACATAGATACTATAGAGTGAGTGAAAATATAAAATTAATGTGTTGTTTCCTATTTTATAACTTTGCTCTCAAAGAATTATATTACCATACAGTATGTTTCTAACTGGAAAAACGGCTTATCATCACAGTTAAGTTTCAAAAAAAAATGCAACATTTCCAATACTGTATTAAGAATATGACTATAATACTGTATGCCATGACTATAAAACTGTATACCATAAAAATTTGATAATAATTAGTGTACAGAATAGGCTACCATGAAGCAATTATATTGGTTATACTAGGCTGCCATAAAGCAATCATATTGCTTCTTCATTATTGGTGCATGAATCATTATACCTGTAAATAAACATGAATTCTTCACATTACCTTCTCATTTTCAGTATCTATCATACAAGACAATACTGACATACACACTGAGATGGTCCATCTTTTTGTAAACAAATGACAAGTTTTGGTAGTACAGTACTTTAAACATTTTCCTTATGACTCTTTTTCTAGATTACTTTAAGAATACAGTAAATGATACATATAACATAACATATGCTACTTGACTATTCATCAGTAAGTCTTCTGGCCAAGTTATTGTTAACTTCGGGGGGGGGTCAAAATTATGTGGATTTTTTGACTAAGTGGGGGTCAGCACCCATAAAGCCAGAAAAACTTGACTCCAGTGAGACTCCCTCCATCCCAATGAATCTATGAGACACCGTGCAAAGTAAGATTTAACCAACATTAGGTTTTCTGAAAGCTTGGAGCCGTTTGTGGCCACATTAACAGGCACTCAGCTTCTTTAAAACAATAAATCTATGAGGTACCATTACACGNGGTGGAAGGGGGGATCAGGATGGGGAACACATGTAAATCCATGGCTGATTCATGTCAATGTATGGCAAAAACCACTACAATATTGTAATTAGCCTCCAACTAATAAAAATAATTGGGAAAAAACAAACAATAAATCGAAGAACCCAAAAGAGGTGGCAGAGAGTTATGATGGGGAACACAGAAAAAGTAATTAAAGTGGCCAATAAAACATGAAAACATGTTCAACCTGGGACAAAGAATAGCAAGCTGCCATTTTCCCACATATTAGTAAGTCTGATGGAGATAGGAAAAAACACACTTGTACATTTATTTTTCATAGGAGTTTAAGTACAACGATTTCTGGATGGCAACATTTATTAAAATTAACATATACCCTTTGATCAATCAGTATTCACTACAAGGAATTTACATATTGGATATTCTTGAAAAAGTATGCGTGGTGGGTATTAATTTCACAGTAGTGTTTTTTCCAGAAAGAAATAAAGGAGCACTGGGAGTGTATTCATGTCATTTAAAAATGCTGTTCAAAGAGTAATATGGAAATGTTACCAATTACATGGTTTAATACCTATATAGATTTGATACAAATATATAATCAAATATAAAGATATAAAATTTAATAGAAACTGAATGCATATATATGAATGTGTATATGTATGCAGCTAATATTTTCTGGAAGGACATACAGAGAATACTGGTCACCTTCAGGGAAGCAGTGGGGAAGTCTTTTCACATTATACCATTCTGTTGTTATTTACATTTCTAACTTGGGCACCAGCTCTGCTTCCCTTTCCCTGACCTCATACCCCGGTGAGAAAGTGGCCATGCAGATTCTGGGTTGGTTTCAGGAACCACTTGATTTCAACACTTACAAACACTCATCACTAGAGGGTATTTATCAATGGCTCTTGGCTCTGATGGTATATTGGGAGGCCTTAAAAAAAAGCCTGACAATTGGTTCAACCCTCAAAACTCTTATAGTATGGGGAGCATCCTCACATTGGGATTTCTAAGAACTCTGCAAGTGATTCTAAAATGCAGCCAGTGGTGAGACCCACCAGGACGTATCATCTTTGATTATTCCTCCATGTCAAATAATGACCTAACGGGTCGTATAATACCACAAGTCACCTGTCTGAGACCATGGGCAGTCACCAGCGCCTCCTGCCCACATTAGGAATTGAGGCCAAATGAAGGAAATATCGATATGCCACACTGGCCTTGCTGTGTGAACATTTAGCTTTTACTGAGTTTGTAGTCTCTGCTGAGGTCCTGTGTGTAGGTACTGTGGACAACTCTAGTTTATGTCCTCATACTGTTTTTGTTTTAAAGCTTTAAACAACTGGTTTAAGCAACACACTCCTCCCACACTAGCCTTTTAACAAATTGAACAAACAAAAAAAAAGAGGTAGAGGTACCTCAATATATGCGATGTGGGTCCATGTTGTTCTTCTCTTAAATTTGCTAGCCACATTTTCAGTCTTATCTTGGCAATATTTTCTTAAAGAGTGAATATTAGGTTAAATATTTTCAAAGAATCAACTTAGCAAGCAAGTTTCTCTTACTAATTCTATGATTAATTTTCCCATTAAGCCAGTTAACAGCCATATAATATGGGTTTTTGCAAGAATATAGCTGACCAAAAGGAAGGGGAAAATTGCAAATTCCAGAAATAAGTGCTACATAAATATTCACAAACTTAGACATGCTATACACAGCTGCTCTCATTTAGTCAAGGTTTCTTTAAATGATTTATACAAAGAAAGTTTCTTTTTCAGTGTAAAATGCTCATACACACTCTCAAGGTGAGCCCAGTCTTAAAGAGTCTTAATGGAAACAAACAGTATTAGTCTTCTAAATGTAACTTCTAATAAATATAATGAGCTCAACTTGAGGGTCTTAACAGACACAATCTTAGTTTTCAAAATATAACTTGAATATAGAATTTCTCAAAAGTAATATCTGAAATGTCAGCCATCATATATATTTTTATTTTATTACAAGATTTTTAAAATCTGAGCAGATACAATTGTGACAGAAAACCAGCTTCATACCAAAAATACACTTTCAATTACCTTATCAAGCAAATAAAATTTCACTTATTTGCTTTTTCTAGAAGTTAATGTACAGTAAAAATTTAACATTGTACATGATAGACATGTAATTAAGCATATAAAAGGAACATGTATTCAATGTTCAGAAACAAAAGTAAAAATAAATAGCAACAATAAAACTTTGAAAAAAATAATGCACATTTTAGTTGTGGAAAATACGATTCTTAACTATATACACAGTTACACTTAACAGAAAGCCATCTCTTTATAATTGCACAAAACATGGGACCAATAAAGCATCATTTTTAGGGCATGTAATACTATAATCCTAGGTGGTTTGTTGCTTAACTCCAGGACATAAAACACTTAGGTTTGTAATATAATAAAAAGTATGCAGTACTGCTGGAGAAAGATTGTCTTCCTCAACTCCTATTAACCTGTAGTAATTCTACAAAAGGCTGTACAAGAAATTTCACAAAAAGAAATATTAAACAATCATTGTGCCCACTCCATGCGAACTAAAGCAGCCAAAAATGGGCTTCAAGGTAAATGTGGGACATTTACTATTTTTGATATTTTTATACTAAAAATCATTACTTTTTTCTGTAAAAAACACTTTGCATTTGACATGATTGGCAATCTCCACACAAAAAAAATCCTGGCAAAAATGGAGTTTCTGCTTTACTTTCTTTTCATGAATAAAATATTTCAGGAAATAGGAATTTATAAAAAAAAACATTAATGCTCAATTCACTTAAAACTTATCAGGACTGTTACTCCATTTTAAAAAACCCTGTTTTAAACTTTTCTGTAAGAAAACCAAAGGAACATTTCCATTCGTATTATGGCACAGCCTTCAAGTCAGAGAAAAATACACTTTAGGTAACCAGAAAAGATTGCACAAAGGTTAGGGGCAACCTGAAATCCTCTTGGTGAAAAACACTTGAGTCCTTTAGGGTGATAAAAAAATATGTGCAGACTTAATTATTAAGTATTTACATTTCAAAGCAGAATCATGAGTTAGCTGTGTAGCTTCTCAATATCAATGATTCACAGGCATTTCAAAAGGTGTAGTAATGTGTCCACAGTATTTGTGTCCACACTTGATGCATAGAATACAGCAAAGATTATGGTTCTTCAGTCTGTTACCTATCATACCTATAACAAAATTGTTTACATTTCAAAAGCTGTACAACCAGAAGACTGAGCAAATATTTTTTATTATCTCGAATACACTTTAAGTACTACTGATTTCACTCATTTGTTCCACAACTTGTCCTAAGATCTCATCAACTACATCAACATCGTAATTCACTTGCTGAAGATCGAGATCAGGTACAATCATGGCCAGGAGCTGTCCTACATTAACTCGAAGAGATCGAAGTTTGAGGCTGAAAATACAAACATTACACCTATTAGACGAACATTATAATAATACAGCTTAATACTCACGTAGGGCTTAAAATTTAAGAGAAATATTAAAATGGAATCTCTGCAGAATGGCACACAAACTAAATGAAAAGCAAAACTTCAAGAGAACTGGATTTAATAATTCACTTAATAATTTATAATTTAACAACTAAATATTTATCTGTTGGTAAACAGAATGTTTCATAAAACTAGTGGCTCTGTTTGGTTCCAACTAATATAATTTCAATTTGAGACTGGAAAAACTGTGGACTGGCAAATACATAAATAACAAGATGCTATTTACAACTGAAAATCTTGTTATTACCTGGAAAACAGTATTGATATACTAGTGAGAACACTGGTCTAAGAATAAGACATAGCTCTTTGAATTTCAGCTTCCTTCTGAGGAAACTAAACTGAACTGTTCCCTAAACCATGTTCTGTGAGGTATCCACAGTTGTATAAATGGATTTGAGGTTAACTAAGCTTAATAAACTTTGGGTTAAATAATGTTAGACAAGATCTTTTTTAAATGCAGGATTTCTCTGAACCTATCACATACTAAATAAAGTTCACTATCAATTATACTATGAATTCATTATAAACACTGGGAAACTCTAGATTAAATGATCATTATCATGCCTTCCTGATTTCCATACATGCAGGTATCTGAATATCAACATTCTGGACTTTAGAGACATACCTACAAGTATTCAGCAAGTGGTCTTTCGTTGAAGATTGAGTGAAACACGTGGATCAAGAGAATGTTAGAGTTGTTCCTATTCTGCCCTCTCCCAAATATAAGAAGCCTATCTTTAGTTTAGATACTGATCTTTCTAGGGTAGAAATCTCTTAAGGAACAAGATGCTCATCTTAGGTTGACAACACACAAAAATGTGATTTTACATTTGGTTTGTGAGCTTATTTTAGGATTCCATTGGATCTTGGATAAAATTTTACACCATTCCCATAACAGTTGCTTTCTGTCCAAGCTTACCCACTGATCTCCAATCAGATGCCTAATTTCTATACAAAAAACAAACAAAGGGCCAGCATGACCCTAGAGCCATCTCTGACCTTCCTATCCTTTAAGTCTCTGGATTGTCCTGGCTAACTGCCCTTCTCTACAGGACACATCACAAGACCCTATTTCAGTATATGTAACAGCACCGAGAAAAAGCACTGTGAGCTCCACATGCAATGTTAAAGAATGTAGCCACATTAAAAACTAAAATGAAGCAATACATTTGTTACACATGAAATATCATTTCATCATATAATCAAAATATTGAGGTGGTTTCTTCTCCTTTTTTTGAATATGAGGGCATCAAAATCCAGCATGTATTTTATACTTAAAGCACATCTCAACTCAGACTAGCTATATTCCAAGTGCCAGTGGCCAAATGTGGCTATACTGTCTTGGAAAGCACAAATCTAAATGGTCATCAATGACTCAAAGTTCAGTGTGCAAGTGAATAATCTGGAAAACTGTTTAAAAGTTTCCAACTCAGTAACCCATACTTCGGCCCAAGGATCTGTATTTTACAAGCACTACAGATGTTTGTGGCTAATGTTTTCAGACACACCAGTTGGGAGTTTATTTTCTGAACCCTTGACCCCACAGTTATATGTACTAATCTATTCATTCTATTTCCATAAACAGATTTAATTAAATCCTTCAAAAACTTAAATGTCAGGTAAGGATGGTAAACTATTTCCCAACAACGGTATGTTTCAGGTGCTAAGTCTCATTACATTAGCAGGAAGAGTTATACAGTTTTATCACTTAATGACCATTTTTTTTTCTTAGTGAATGTTTTTGAATAATAAGCTATCAATAGACCACCAATACTGTCAGAACCCCAAGTCCATTTAATGCCCTACTGAGAGTAATCATTCATTTATGTTTTCTTCTTTTCACAGAACTTCTTCCTTATTAATCACCCGTAACAGCAACTCTCAGTAATTGTGGATTTCCTAAGTTAAAACTGTGGGAAAACTGTAGTAAAATGAGTAGCAGCCTGTAGTGAAGCATGTAGTAAAATGAGAGCAAACCATAAATAAATGGTGCCAAGCACAGAAAGAAATCAAGGTAAAAAACTAAGTTTCAGGAAATGGACCCTTATCCTCTAGTCACTGCCTAATTCAGCCCATTCTTTAACATCTGGGACAATTTTCACTTTCCCCCCAAAAATATTCCTAACCACTCTGACCAATCAGAGCTTTATTCCTTTGAAATTCCTATTTCACTTAGGTTCACTAAACTGTTAGTTCCCTGAAGGAAAGGATGATGACATATACTTCTTTTTGTATCTATCATAATGCTGGGATCACAACAGCAAGCAACTTCTTTTGACAGAACAACCTTTGATGAGTACTAGCAAGTATCATGCTAACCAGAACTGCAGTCCCAGCCAAACTGCCTCATCTTGTATTACCTTTCCCCATCAGTGTAATTTACAGACTCCTCGATGTTACTTGAAGTTGATACATCAGCTCCTACTTGTCCACTTGTAGATTTTAACTGTTCGATTTCAGCTTTCAGTTCTTCACACTGCGAACGGATTTGTGATTTTTCCACTTCCAATAATTCAATCTGACAAAAAATTAATTTTATAACTGTAAAATTTTAAAATACTACTATCAAAGTGCAAATTTAAGCTAAGAAATGTACAAAACCCTGCATGATGAAAATCTCCATCAAAAAATTAAGACACTACCCTAGGTGGCTCAGACAGTAAAGAATCTGCCTGCAATCCAGGAGATCTGGGTTGGAAAGAACCCCTGGAGAAGGGAATGGAAACTCGCTCCAGTATTTTTGCTTGGAGAATTCTATGGACACAGGAGCCTGGCAAGCTACAGTCTATAGGGTCAAAAAGAGCCGGACACGACTGAGAGACTAACACTTTCACTTTACACTCCAAAAAGAAAAAAGAAAACCAACCAAAAGAAAACCAACAAAACGTAGACAAAAAACAGCATGCTATAAACAAAGTTTCACTTGTTTAGTTTCACTTAAATGAAGACCTACAAGACCTTTTAGAACTAACACCATAAAACATGTCCTTTTCATCATAGGGCACTAGAATGCAAAAGTAGGAAGTCAAGAGATACCCGGAGTAACAGGCAAATTTGACCTTGGAGTATAAAATGAAGCAGGGCAAAGGCTAATAGAGTTTTGCCAAGAGAATGCACTGGTCATAGCAAATATCACTTCCAACAACAGAAGAGACAACCCTACACATGGACGTCACCAGATGGTCAATACTGATTATCAGACTGATTATATTCTTTGCAGCCAAAGATGGAGAAGCTCTATACATTCAGCAAAAACAAGACCAAAAGCTAGTTGTGGCTCAAATCACGAACTCCTTATTGCAAAATTCAGACCTGAATTGAAGAAAACCACTAGACCATTCAGGTATGACCTAAATCAAATCCCTTACGAAGGAGGGAAGTGACAAATAGATTCAAGGGATTAGATCTGATAGTGCCTGAAGAACTATGGGTGGAGGTTTGTGACATTCTACAGGAGGCGGTGATGAAAACCATCCCCAAGAAAAAGAAATGCAAAAAAGCAAAATGGCTGTCTGAGGAGGCCTTACAAATAGCTGATAAAAGAAGAGAAGCTAAAGGCAAAGGAGAAGAGAAAAGATGTACCCATCTGAATGCAGAGTTCCAAAGAATAGCAAGGAGAGTTAAGAAAGCCTTCCTCAGTGAACAATGCAAAGAAATAGAGAAAAACAATAGAATGGGAAAAGACTAGATATCTTTTCAAGAAAATAAGAGATACCAAGGGAATATTTCAAGCAAAGATGGGCACAATAAAAGACAGAAACCGTATGGACCTAACAAAAGCAGAAGATATTATGAAGAGGTGGCAAGAAAACACAGAGCTGTACAAAAAAGATCTTCACAACCCAGATAATCACGATAGTATGATCACTCACCTAGAGTCAGACATCCTGAAGTGTGAAGTCAAGTGGGCCTTAGGAGCATCACTACAAACAAAGCTAGTGGTGGTGACAGAATTTCAGTTGAGGCATTTTAAATCCAAAAAGATGATGCTGTTAAAGTGCTGTACTCAATATGCCAGCAAATTTGGAAAACTCAGCAGTGGCCACAGGACTGGAAAACGTTAATTTTCATCCCAATCTCAAAGAAGGGCAATGCCAAAGAATGTTCAAACTACTGTACAATTGCACTCTCTTCACATGCTAGCAAAGTAATGCTCAAAATCCTTCAAGCTAGGTTGCAACAGTTTGTGAATCAAGAACTTTCATATGTACAAACTGGATTTAGAAAAGGGAGAGGAACCAGAGATCAAATTGCCAACATCCACTGGACCAGAGAAAAAGCAAGAGAATTCCAGAAAAACATTTAGTTCTGCTTCACTGACTATGCTAAAGCCTTTAACTGTGTGGATCACAACAAACTGGAAAATTCTTAAAGAGGTGGGAATACCAGACAGACTACCTTACCTACCTCCTGAGAAACCTGTATGCAGGTCAAGAAGCAAAGAGTTAAAAACAGACATGCAACAATGGACTGGTTCAAAACTGGAAAAGAAGTCAAGGGTGTATATCGTCACCCTGCTTATTTAACTTACATGCACAGTACATCATGCAAAATGCCAGGCTGGATGAAGCTTAAGTTGGAATCAAGATTGCAGGGAGAAATATCACTAACCTCAGATATGCAGATGAAACCACCCTAATGGCAGAAAGCTAAAGAGCCTCTTGATGATGGTGAAAAAGTAGAGTGAAAAAGCTGGTTTAAAATCCATCATTCAATAAACAGAAGATTATGGCATGTGGTCCCATTACTTTGTGGCAAATAGATGGGGAAAAAGTGGAAACAGTGACGGATTTTATTTTCCTGGGCTCCAAAATCACCAGGGATGGTGACTGCAGCCATGAAATTAAAACACAACTTTCTTCTTGAAAGAAAGTTATGACAAACCTAGACAGTCTATTAAAAAGCAGAGACATCACTTTGCCAACAAAGGTCCAGAGTCAGAGCTATGGTTTTTCTAGTCGTCTTGTATGGATGTGAGATTTGAACCATAATGAAGGTTGAGTGCTGAAGAACTGATGCTTTTGAACTGTGGTGTTGGAGAAGTCTCTAGAGAGTCCCGTGGACTGCAAGGTGATCAAACCAGTTTGTCCTAAAGGAAATCAACCCTGGATATTCATTGGAAGGACTGATGCTGAAGTGCCAATACTTTGGCAACCTGATGCGAAGAACCGACTCGTTTGAAAACACCTTGATGCTGAGAAAGATTGAAAGCAGGAGAAGGGGATGACAGAGGATGAGATGGTTGGATAACATCACCGACTTGATGGACCCAAGTTTGAGCAAGCTCCAGGAGTTGGTGATGGACAGGAAAGCCTGGCATACTGCAGTCCACAGGGTCACAAAGAGTCGGACATGACTTAGTGGCTGAACAACAACAAACATCGTCATCTACCTCATATGGTTATTTTCAGGCTTATAAATAACAGACATAGAGCTTCCAGCATATTAGTAACTGACTGTCTCAGGGCCAGTGAGCAGAACAATCCCTCGTGGTATAGCAGGGTCCTGTGTATACAGGACATTTACCAGACCTGGTCCCCACCCCTTCAATTCCAGCACTGCCCATCCCTTCAAGATACTGAAAGAAGCACAACTACCCTATGCATTTCCAGATGCCCACACCAGGACCACTCCCAGTCGAGAACCAGTGGACTAGTAGGTAGTCGATAAATGGAAATATTATGAAGTCATTTATTCAGATCTAGCCACTGGGGAGTTAAGGTTGGGATGCCCCTGGATACCCACACCTCTCATTATGCTGAGGGACATAACTCACCTCACTTTTATACTGGTCCCTCTCAACACTGCATTTGTCCAGCTGTCTAAATACATCATCAAGCTGCACAACCATTTCATCCACCTCACTTTTACTCTCACTACTGGAACACTGAGTGCATTCAGCCTTTACATGTTGCAAAGCACTGCACTGCTTTTTCAGCCTTTCAATTTCTTCCAAGGCTTGCCGATACTGAGATGCCACGTGGTCCGGACTTTCGGGTTCACCATTGATGCTCTGCAGCAGAAACACAGCATCGGTTTCAGTAGACTGATGGCAGGTTTCCTTCTTCACGTATTTGTTGTTCATCTCCAGTATCCTCTGCTGTAACACCTTGATCTGGTCAGTGAACATGTGGCACTGTCTTTTATAATTTTCTCTTTCTTGGGTGACTAGAAGCAGTTCGTTTCTTAGTTCATTTAACTGGAAACCGGCGTCGCTAGCAGACTTATCCAAGGCTCCCTGGGTCTCAGGCGTCTTCCCTTCAGTTCCCACACAGGCTGGCCGTGCAGCCGTGTCATTCCTTACATCTATCTCATCTTCAATAGTCTCCTCCTTTTTCACGACTAAACTTGGCACTTCCGTCTGGGTGGCTGTGGTGGTGCCCTGATCACACCGGGATGCTGAGGTGCCTGTGGAACCCGTCTGGCCACAAGGTTCATTATCGCCCAGAGGCTCCACGTCAACACCACTTTGATCCATGGGACTCTGCTGCAATTTCACTTCAGTATCATCATCTCCTGCAGGCTTGGGAGTGCTATTTTCTTCTAAGATGATGACATCTTCATCATCATCATCATCTTTATGAGAATTTTCGAATACTTGATTACTCAATCTCTGATTCTTTGCATTCAAAATTGAGGAGCGAGTAGGGAGTCTCCGTTTCAGGCTGGAAAAAATTTCATACATGAAATATAAGATTATAAAATGTAGATATGGAAAAAGTAAGACAACATTGAAGTAATATATCTTGAAATTCTAAGAAATGCCATATTCATTTTCTTAAACAATATATTTACAGAATATTGCTCAATGATTTAATAAAGTAGAAATTATTTTTTCCTTTTACAGATGAGGAAACAAGACTATTAAGACCTCCTCAAAGTACCACATCCTTATGCTGCTGATGTATTTCTTCATTTGATGTCTACTGGCATTTCCATTTAACATCCTGACAGAATGCCACCACTCACCCCAGGGGTGCTCTCTGTGACCCAGAGGTCACTGCGTGGCACTGCCATTCCCATCTGTCCATCGTAATTCCATCAACAGTCAGGGAACAAAAGTGGGTCACAAAGTAAACTGGCACGCCCTGCCCTCTCCTGGGAGACAACTTACCCTGCATTAAAAATTGCCTCGTTTTCTGCACCTGATTAGTTTTCTGTGAATTTATCACCAACTGACCACTTTTTGTCCCATTTAAGAGGGACAATTGTACTAATTTGCCATTTGGGTCTTACATGTTAAGACCTCATTTCTCAAGAAAGAACTCCCCTTTCCTTAGGCTTACTCTCTCATATGGAGGGGACATAATCTTCAACAAGAACTTGAGAAAGGGTACACATGACATAAAGACTGTGAAATATTACACAGTGAAAATATTTTTTTCACCTCTCAAGTCCAATGATGGTTTGATTTTTATACAGACGTCCAGGTTGGGAATTACTTTCTTGAAACTTTAAAGGCATTATCCCATCGTTACCTCCAGTCACGTTGCTGCCGCTCCGATTCATACCTTTTGATTATAGCCTATGTCCTCCTCTCTGAAACCAAAAATTCTTTTCCCGAGTGCTTTAAAACTTCATGATGATATTTCTTATCTTTCCCCAGACATTACGCTGTGGAAGTTAAGCCTTTCTTCTATTATTTTCTCCCTTCTCTGATCTCCCATTCTGAAATATCCTTATTCAGAGGTTGGTCCCTCCAGTGCATTGCCTCTTTTTTCTGTCTTCCGTTTCTCTTCATCCTGGGAGATTTATCTGGTAAACATCTACCCAGCTCTCAGTTAGTTTCACATGGCTTTTTCTACTCCCTTTGTTTGAGCTATGTACCTTGGGGGAATTTTCGGCTATATTTCTGTTTCGGACTGGAAGCAGTGAGGGCTGGGCGTGGGAGTCCAAGGATGCCATCATCACCACCTGGGTCTTTCCTCCTGGGAGCCAGGGAGGGGAGGAGGGGAGACAGGCTCCTCACCATTCAGTATTCAAATGTTCCCCTACTCCTTCTGTTTCTGAAACGGTTGCCGTGAAAACTGCTCCAGAGAGTAAGCTCCCTGCCTTCTGACGGAGGAACAGCAGCAGCTCCTCTGGCCTCTGCAGGCTGCGAAAAGGCCCAGGGAACCACCCTCTCCTAAACTCTCCTACGAGCTTCCTGGTCTTACCCCCAGTTTCCCACCTTCAGAAACGTCCAGTGCTTCCAAGTTCTGAGACAGTCGAGTGATCCAAGCAGTTGAGCATTTAATTGGAAGTTGCCCTGTTCTTTTTTATACCAGGCTAATTCCTATTTGTATGTCAAGACTTAGTTTAGGAACCATCTCCCCACAGACTCTGGCTCTATCAATTCAAGGACAGAGGTTTACAAATGAAAAATCTTGCTCTCTTCTCTTCTACCACTTTGGTGGCTCTGTGTGTGCACTCAAGTTGCTTCAGTCGTGCTGGACTCTTTGCGACCCCATGGACTGTAGCCCACCAGGCTCCTCTGTCCATGGGATTCTCCAGGCAAGAGTATTGAAGTGGACTGCCATACCCTCCTCCAGTGATGGCAGTCACTTTCAAAGATAAATTCCATTACCTTGTCTGTAAACATTATAAAAAATTTACTTTTTACTTACTTTGTCTGGAACCAGCTTTATAAAGAAAAGCCAAGAATATCATGGAGACTAGTTTAAAAAAAATTCACACATGTTCTCAGTTAAGCAGCAATCCAGACACAAAATAAGACCTCAAAATGTAGGCTATATATAAATAGCAAACTATTTCAAAACATGCCCTCCATGATGTATATATGCATAAACGCAGTTATTTTGAATCTTTTCTCAATTTTCAAAAATTCTTTTGAAGGGCTTCCCTGGCGGCTCAGTGGCAAAGAATCCACCTGCCAGTTCAGGAGACGTGGGTTCAACCCCTGATCCAAGAGGATCCCACATACCTTGGGGCAGCGGGGTCCAGACACAACTGCTGGGTCCATGTGCTACGACCATGGAAGCCCGCCAGCCCTGGAGCCTGCTGCACGAGTAGAGGCCACTGCACAAGAAGAGGTCCCTGCACCACAACTAGAGAAAAAGCCCTCGTGGTGGCGAAGGCCCAGCACAGACATAAAGAAATTAACAAATCAAAGAAAAACCTCTCAGAATGTCTGGTCTATTTCAGAGAATCTCATTTCAGTGTTTCTCTTCAAACAAATCCAGACGGAGTCTAATGTATGAGTTAACTGGCATCACACACTTCATTCTTCACCTGTGTTCCTTCTATTCGCTTTCAAAGGGCAACCTGTGCACAGTACTACTTTTAGAATTTCAGGAAACAACCTCGCACCGCCTCATCATAAAGCATTCCCTGACCATTCCGGTCAAGAGAGGGAACCGTTCAATTCACGTTATCACTCATACATCTTCCTCTTCTTTTTCCATCCACTCATCCAAAGTACACAGCATGTCATGGGCTATGCTGAGAACTTATGGGTCACACCTGATATTATACTCTTGTACTGTGAACTGCTATTGCTTCATGTTTTTCTTTGCTCAGATAGTGATAATCTTAAAAGCAGGGATTTTTTCACTATACAGAATTGCAAAGAGGTGATAATATGATTAATTCCCACAATGAAAACAATATTCTTTCAATTGATTTAAACAGTAACATAAGTAGGGTAGAGGTACATTTAGAGAGTAAAAGCAAAATAACTCATCCTTACGGCTTCCCTTGTGGCGCAGCAGTAAAGAATTCGCCTGCCAATGCAGGAGACGTGGGTTTGATTCCTGGGTCAGGAAGATCCCCTGATGTAGGAAATGGCAACCTACTCTAGTATCCTTGCCCGAGAAATCCCACGAACAGAAGGAGCCTGGCAGGCTATAGTCCATGGGGTCACAAAAGAGTCGGACACGACTTCGCGATTAAACGAAAACCAACTCATCCGTAAGACTTTTTTTTAATATGCATAAAAACTGCACGTTCTTAGAAGTGCGTTATTGCCATAAAACTGTCAAGTAAAGGCTGTCTCATACTCGTTTCCCAAATGGAAAAACACATTTTAGCGACTGACCTGTTATTCTCAGGTTCAGATTGGGGTGAACCTCGATGATGGTTTATAAGCCTTGTTGAGTAAGTATTTGCTACTTCTGAAAGATGTCCTCGTGGAACACTTTCCTTAATGGGAGTAAAGGTTTGACTTGACACAGGGGTTTTTGGAAACAGGAGTTCGGCATGAATCTGTTGAAGGAAAAAAAAAAAAACTGATCTTAAAGAGATTTTTAAAATGTGTCCTGTCCCAAACACAAAATACTCCTTCCCTGTCCCCATACCCCAGAAGGCACTGAGAACTATCCTAACCACGAGAAATCGTTGCACAGTGTACACTACACCAGGGAGTGACAAAGAGCCAAGTCCAGCCTGCAAGTGAGTCAAGACTGGCTTCACATTTTTAAACGCACGAACAAAGCAAAGAATGAATACGCCACAGAGACTGTATGTGTGATCCACAGAGCCTAAAAATACCACCTGACCTGTTACAGAAAGATTTGTTGACCTTGGATTATATAGAGAGCTTACACAGATACAGAATAAAAACATTTTCCCAAGAGAAAGAAACTGAAGATAAAGTCACAAAGACACTGCCTTTAAAAAACCTAAGCCCACTATTCGTTTTCTCCCAGTTCTGTTCTCACTCTCAAACCCTCAGCCTTTATATAAGAGAACATCTCAATGTATTGATAAGCATACATATACCAATGCAGCAGCCCACAGCTTCCTAAATAAGAAGTACAACTACCTACTTAGACACTAAAAAAAGCTCAACACCATTAAGCATTAAGCAAGACAGGGCTGTGGGATTAAGAGAGGCAAACTGTGTGTAAAAGAGACAAGCGAGAAGGCTATATTATTGTACAGCACAGGAAGTTACAGCCATCGTTCTGTAGTGACTTTTATTGGAGTATTATCTGTAAAAATTCTGAATCACATGCTGCACACCTGAAACTAGTATTACAAAATTAACTATACTTTCAGTTAAAAAAATAGAGAGAGAGAAAGGGAGGGAGGGTCAACAATGTAGCTCTGGTCCAAGTCAGTACTAGAATGCAGCACCCTGGGTGTTCCTATGAATTTTTTTCCTTGACTGTCTACCTAATGAGAAGATTCTTAAAAGAATATCTGCCTTTCCCCAGATGCCCAACTTGAGAATAAAACTGAACCGTTTGAGTGAAGTTGTTGGGTTAGGAAGTCAGCGTTGGGGAAAAGGGTAAGAAGCAGGTACAAGAAGAGAAGAGAAAGTGAACTGAATGAACAAGATTGCTTCAATCTGCTATGTAACTCCTGAGTTTAAAGTTGAGTACTAAGTTAATCACCACCCAATCCAGGACACAGCTGTAATACGGAAGGCCTCATTACCCGAGGGACTGTTTCCGGTTGTCTGATCCTGAACTTTTCCCTGTCTCTTAAAAAAAAAAGAGAAAGAGAGAGAAAAGAAAAAGAAAAATGAACAAATTTAAATTTACTTCATTTTTCAACTGTTTTCCAATGACATACTTGCCACTTCACTATGAAGTCACTAAGACAGGTAGGTACACTGAACTTTGTTTCAGTGTCATTATAGTAAGTGCTAAGCCCGAGGCAGGGAGCTTTCTGCCTCTTATCTCAGAAACACCCTAATGTCTTCCACTCTTGCTTCAAACGTTATCATCAATAGTGCACTATAAACCTTCATGAACTCGATGTTCCATGAGTGGCATGCAAGCCTAATGCTCCCCGTGGCTCACTGCTGTTCCCAGCTTCTCTCTCCACCTCTATTCTCCACTAGGCCCATTCGCATTATTTACTCTGCTTAAGCTAAACAAACCACTGCTCTCCACCCAACAAATCCCACCCAGCAGGAATTTTCCTGATCCGTGTCCCTAGCCAAAGGGATTTATCCTTATGGGCTTCCTCACAGGACAGTCAGGCCTTTTACAGGGGTTGTCAACTTCACACAGGTAACACACACACGTCTCACTTTCTCTGTTAAAAGGGCAGTATTCACTTCTGATTCATTGGTGTTTAGCCCAAAAAGACAAAACTATACTGCATAGGCAAAGTATCTTGTAGACAGGACAGCAATAACCAGCAGGTATCCACTGCATAAACTTAAAAAGCACTTGTTGGAGTCGTCATCTTTTGTGGCTATCCTGCTGTCTCTTAGAGATGCATTGACTGATACTGTAGACAGAGTACTGCGGATGATCTGGGCTTTATTCTCCCACATACTTTCAGACAACACTCACTTCTTTTTGTAGGTTTTTTCATAAGTGGGATGCACCACATCTTCATCTTCAGGTTCTTCTGGAACATCACAATTTCTAGTCAGAAAAATCACATGGGAATAACACGTCACCAGCGCCTATTCATACATCTTGAACAGCACTTTCTGCCTTTCCAAAAAAGGGTACTACCAACTATATGGTACCTGAACTGTGGGTCAGGGTTATTGGAGCAATACCATTTTTCTGGAAGTTGATCTATCCCATCTGGTAATTTTCGCCACTTTAGACAGGAATCACATTGAACCCATGTCTGATCAGGACGTTTCCTGTAACAAAATAACAATTCAATACTAACATGGAAATACGGACCTAAGTACTTCACTGGACTTGCCACATCATTTCTCCCAAAAAATTCTCTTATTAATTCTGTCCCTGAAAATTCTGTAACATAACTACTTTGGTGGACAATTAGTTTTTAAAAACAATTCTGGCAGACAGAATTGAAGTGACAGACTCATTTACACAAAGTGATTTAAATGTCTTGTTTAACAGCACATTATAAATTTTTTCTATAGTAAAAACTCAAAAACCTAAGAAAACACTACAAATGACTTGCTCTGAAATTTATATTAAGTTAGCATCTGTAGTGTCAAATCCAATATACTTCTTAGCACAATAACAACTCAAGTACAGAAAATAGGCAAGTTGTGTTATTGCAATTTAAGCAATTTTTAAACTATATTACATTTTACCCTCTACTATAGCATATCTCTGAACATCTTAAATTTGTGCATTTCTTTAGTTTATAAAATAAGGCTTTCACATTTTTATCATTCAAAAATTACGATGATCCTGCAAAGAATTTACGTAGACTCTTTTAACATACAATGAATTCACCTTAATGCTGGTAACTTTTAAGAATACATTTAAATGGTTTTATAGAAACTTCAAACAATCCAGAACTTTATAAAATAAATATAAACCCTTTGTTTCAGGAGGTTACTACTGCTTATTTCTTTAATCCTGGTATAAATTTTCTATGCTTATTAAAGTATGCATATGTGTGTGAACAGTAAAAAAAAAAAACACATACACAATGGAAAAATTAAGACACTGAGTTGCATCCTTTTTGTTTCCCATTACCTATCTTGGACATCCTTCCATCAGTACACAGAGTTGTTATTCATTCAGAGGGCTTATGTGTTTTACTGAGGAGCACTGTTATCTTTTAAGTCTTACAACTCTAGGAGGTAAAGACTATTATTGTTCCCGTTTTACCAACGATAAAATGGAAGCTTAAACTAGGTCAAATAACATGTTCAATGTCACACAGCTACTTAAGCAGAACTACAATGTAAACTGAAATCTGGCTTCAGACTCCTGATCCTATTACACAAGACCAGAGATTTTCAAACTATGAGATACAACCCATTAGTGGATCATGAAGTCACTTTAGTGGGTCAAGATGAGCATTTTTAAATAAAGTAAGTGCTATCAACACTAATAATACAGGTAAATACTGTTTCGAGAATCTTTTGTGTATAAGTGCATACATTCATTTTACAGTATGCTGATTTGAGCTATGGGATTTATTTCTTACTACGTATTAGATTCCAAAGTTTATGAACACTGTACAATCGCCATGCCCTCCAATACCACATCCTGATAGTAAAGTCAATTATTTTTTAAATGCACTTACTGAATATCTTCAACTGGCAAGTTTAGAGGATATTCTGCATGTTTTTTCACTTTCATTTCATTCCAGTAATCATTGAGCTTATCTCCCAGTGCTGTTATTGTTAGCCTCAAAAAGAAGTAAATTACAAAATCAATTCAAGAAAAAAAATGATAAAGATTAAATTTTTGTCAAACACAAAGAAAGCATAAGCAACCTAGTATTTACCGATTATGTGAACACTGGGGGTGGGGAGGGCAGGGTGGAGGGCTCTCCGAAAGGTTCAGTTAAGTAAGAACACAGAGTCATGGCAATCTCTGAGGACCTTTAGAAGTTCACAGAACAGAGCCAGGGTCAACAGGAATAAAACAGAAAATACGAGTACTTCGGGGTCCTCTGCTGAGAAAGTATGTTGCCAACCAACCCACCAATTGCTTTCTGAATTTCAGTGCACTGACCCTTCCAGAGGAGCTCCAGCTATGCCCTCAGGCCACGCTCTTACCTCCAGCAGCAGAGACTGTTCCAGCCTACGAACCCCCTGGGCAGAGACAGGTCTCCTCCAGGGACAGCTCAGTCCAAGCCCGCCTACATCCCCTGCCAAAAGCAGGCCATGTCTACAGACGGACAGTGGCCAGGCCTTCTGGCAAGCTTCCTGCCATGGCGGGTAGTGTGTTCCCCTGTCGGTCACAACCTCTACCAAGATCTGAGCCTCAGACTTCCGGGACTGGGAGCGCTCTCCTAGCTCCTTCACTGTCTACTCTTTTTCAGCCCAGAGGTAACAGTTGTAGCTTTGCATCTGACAGTTCTGGATAAGCTACTGTCCTTTTGAACCCTCTGAGCAATCGCCCTCTACTACTGTGGCTAACAGCTCCTTGTATTTTGTTTAAATAACAGAGGTAGCTGTAGTCTCGGGACTGCACTCTGAATGATATATTTATTGATTTTCTCTATCATGTGTTTCATAATTTGCTGATTCTGCTATTAGTCCCTTCCTTCCACTTTATTTTTCTTTATTTATAACAAGTTTGCACTCTATTTTATAATATATGCTCACTAGGACAGCTGTTGATGCTTCCTAAATTTACAAGTAAAATCATGATCATATTTATTTTATGGCTTCTAATCACTCTTAGGAGTAATAAATGAAAAAAAAAAAAAAAAGATAGGAGTATTTTTGTCTAAAGTAGAGGACTAAACATTCTTGAAGTTCCCATCCAAGATGGAAATTTCTAGATTTTATAATACACAAAAAAATGTTACCAAGAAAGCATGAACTTCCTCTATTTAGTATAAATCTCAGAAATACTTCACTATTACAGGCAGAGGAGAATATATTTCTATTTGTGATGGAGTAGAATATAATTCCTAGGGTGGTAAAAAATGATTACATGTGTTTTCTAGGTAAGCCTCCCACAAAACAGAAACAAATTCAGCTTAGAAAAAGTTAAGGAAGTATTTCCAAAATAAATTGTAAAAAGTCAGTCATTATTAACATACCTGTATTCATTAGTATAATCAAAATCTTGTTTATTATGAGTTGGTTTTAGGAAATAGCAGTCTATAATCCCCACTACTCCAACACCCATGTTGTTTGCCTGAAAAATAAAATGAAATTGGCATTTTAAACATTAGATATGAAAAATAAATAAATAAATAAACATTAGATATTATACTCCCGCATTGCAGATGGATTCTTTAGCAGCTGAGCTACAAGGGAAACCCTTTATGATGCTCAAAACAATCATTCCTTCACCAAAATTTAAGAGCTTTATGAAACATTTTCCCATATTTTATCTCATGATTCTTATGACATTTAGATTGAATAACAGTATCTGGAGTGTAACTTACTTCTGGGGGAGATAATTCCTAAAAATTTAATAGCTTTCCTCCAAAACAACTTCCACTGTCAAGCATTCACTTAGATAAGTACTATCATTCCCAGTTTTATACAACATGAAAAAAGATCCTCTCTACTGGGATGCAGTATCTTAGCTGGTAGAAACCACAACTAACTCCTTCCTATATCAGGGCCTAGAGCAAAGGCAATGGCACCCCACTCCAGTACTCTTGCCTGGAAAATCCCATGGACGGAAGAGCCCGGTGGGCTGCAGTCCATGGGGTAGATAGGAGTTGGACATGACTGAGCGACTTCACTTTCACGCATTGGAGGAGGAAATGGCAACCCACTCCAGTGTTCTTGCCTGGAAAATCCCAGGGAAGGGGGAGCCTGGTGAGCTGCCGTCTACGGGGTCGCACAGAGTTGGACAAGACTGAAGTGACTTAGCAGCAGCAGCAAAGGCTTTGGCACATTAATATCCCATAAGTTTGCTAGATAGAAATTAAAGTCATTTATCCAAAGTTAAGCATTCAATTGCTAACTGTGATGAAATAAAAACTTTAAATTCAACTGACCTAATTTATTTTTTAAACTTGCTAGCTAAAATATTGAACTCAATGTATCTGAATCATATTCTGATTATCTATATGTAATCAACATGTGTATTTTGTTCATAATTGTAGCTGAGTCTTAAGTACAATGATAAAAGTGAAATACTGACTTATAAGATGAAAATTTTCATAGATAAGAGCTATAGACAAAACCGTAAAAACCTAATCACAATGTGACTCTACTAAAAGCCATCAGTGGCTTCTCATTTCATACAAGTTGTAAATCACAGCACCCTTCGCTTGTAGCTCTTTTCATGTTCTTTCTGGCCTTACCTTCTCCTATTCTCTCAGAAGCCTCTTTCTTTTCCTCTGCAGATCTCCTTTTCTGGGCCTAGAAAACTCTTGTTAGACCTTCCAAAATAGTAAATTAACACAGTCTCCTCTCAGTCACCACTTTCTCCAAGAAGCCCATTCTGATGCTCCAAGTAAAAGTCAAAGTTGCTCAGTCGTGTTCAACTCATTGCAATCCCATGGACTATACAGTCCATGGAATTCTCCAGGCCAGAATACTGGAGTGGGTAGCCTATCCCTTCTCCAGCGGATCTTCCTGACCCAGGAATCGAACCGGGGTCTCCCGCACTGCAGGCTAATTCTTTACCAACTGAGCTATGAGGGACGCCTGATGCTCCAAGGAGATAGATACCATATTCCCCTCAGCAAAAAGAGCTCTGGGGACATGCGTATCTTTTCCTCTTTTTCTGCTGAACATCTATCATGGCAAATCATACCAAATACTTAATAAATTGTTTACTGAATCCAAATACTAGGACCAGTTCATCTTTTGGTACAGAAAAACATTAAAAGTTGGCTGTAAAAGCTTATTTTTTAACAAAGTCAAACTTAACCAAAAATAACACAAATTTAGCTGGGTTGGAAAAATGAGCTACACATCTTACATCAAATTCATTAAAAGAAAAAAAATGTGTATTTTGTAGCAGACACTATTGGTTTTTTTGAAACCCAATTTGAAAAACTGAAGTATAGCTGATTTACAATATTATGTTAGTTACAGGTATATGATATATCCAATATTTTTAATTATACTCCATTTAAAGTTATTATTAAATATTGGCTACATTTCCTGTGCTGTACAATACATCCTTATAGCTTATTTTATACATAGTAGTCTGTACCTCTTAATCCCCTACCCCATCTCTCCCCACCACCCTGTCCCCACTGGTAATCACTAATTTCTTCTCCATATCTGAGTCTTTTTCTGTTTTATTACATTCATTGAGTTGTTTATTTTTTTAACTCCACATGTAAGTGATAATATACAGTCTTTTGTCTTTTTCTAATATATTTCACTAAGAATAATACTCTTTAGGTCCATCCACACTGTTGCAAAGAATTCAGAACAAAATGAAATGAACAGAAAATGAAAATCATGGAACTGGAAAACAAAATATGCCTAGACTTTAAGTCTTTTTAACAAAGCTGAATTTCAGAATTTAACACTAAATTCTTAACACACACACATCAAAAAAAAAACCCCTCTGTGGAAACATGTAAAAGATAAACAGACAGACACAGTAGGCAATGTTCATCATCCTAAACTGAACTCTACAAAAAAGAAAGGGGTTTAGGAGGAAAATTCTAACATATTTAGGAACTAACTCCAGAAAAGTAAATCACCTATCAGATACTATTTTTTAGGCTACTGCAGCAACAACAAATTAAAACTGATCAAGTTTATTCTCGCATAAAATAACCCAGGATCCTCATCCAAGTGCAGCAACAAGATCTGCATCTGTGTCTGAGAGCCACACTCATCTTTAGATCCAGGGCAAGCTACGTATGAGCCCCAATTTCCTCATCTGTAAATCAGAGAAAAGGCTCTGTCCTCTTTGTAAGATGATGTTCAAGACCAAATGAGAAAACAATACACAAGTGCTCTACGGTCAAGCACCACACGAATGCTGTTAAAAACACTGACATTAGAAGTCACGAGGCAAGGGCAGGGGGCTTCCACGGTGGTCCAGCGGCTAAGATGCCGCATTCTCAATGCAGGGGCCCTGGGTTCCATCCCTGTTCAGGGACCTAGATCCCACATACAGCAACTAAGATCCTACATGCCACAGTGAAGAAATCCCACACCCCACAACTAAGAAACAGTGCAGCCAAGTAAATAAATATTTTAAGACAAAAAAATAAAAATCATTAGGCAAAAAGCACATTATTTCACATTTGACCTGTAACATGTTATCCTAACTTTTATAAAAGATTCAGACATTTTCAGATATAAGCTTACCCTTAACTGACATCCAACTTTTTCATAAGCTTTGATGAGTCTATTTCTGTGATACATCATTATTCCATAATGATCTTTATTTCTGCAATTGAATCCAAAAGTAATTCTCACAGTTTTATTAGTCTTAAATGTTAAGGAAAATTCTGAATACACCATTTCACTTCCTTTAATTCATCCTCTCTATTTCATTGAGTTCAAAGGTGCATTAAAGGCAAAGTTGGACAGGATTAGAATCTGTCAGGATAAAAAGAGAAATGGGGAAGGGAAATACACTTGATCTCTCTCTCTATATATATATACAGCATCGTAACAAAAAAGGATACTAAAAACTTGGGTCGATAAATATCACGTTCAATGTAGGCAAGACTCTTCGAAACCAGCTGGGTCTTTACTTTCTGTCCACGCAAGATGATCTGCATTCGTGGCTTTAGATACAATATACTGCAGTAAGCCTGCAAAGACACACAACAATTGACTGTCATTTCCGAACAATTACCAATGGATTTGTTCAACATTACTTACATATGTTTTTAAAAAGAAGGCTAGCTCAGTGCTTTGACAATAAAAGACTCACTAACTCTTCAATAAAATACTACAGACTATAAAGGTGCTTTAGTTAGCATTTGATTACTGTATTAAAAACAAGCTCAATATAATGGAGCCAGTAAACAAGCAAGCTCAATATACTGGAGCCAGTAAAAAGGGTTTACAGAAAACAATCAACCGACCTACACAGATGTTGCTAAGTTATATGGAAAAAAGTTTAAAAAGAGCATGTATGATATGATCTCATTTTAATAGATGACCAGTGCAAATTCAATGCATGAAGCAGGGCACTCAAAGTCAGTACTCTGGGACAACCCAGAGAGAAGTGGTGGGAAGGGAGGGGGAGGGGGGAGACACGTGCACCCGTGGCTTATTCATGCTAATGTATGGCAAAAACCACCACAAGACTGTGAAGGAATTATCCTCCAATTAAAACAAATAAATAAAATTTTAAAAAATGTCTATGTATACAAAAAAGGACCTATATTTTCTGACTCTGCTATCAAAAACATATTTTGTTATTATAATTTTAAAGCATCAATAAATTTTACTTGTGCACAAATAAGCAAAAATCTAATATAAACAAAGGAGACTATTGTAAGTTTGAAAAGGAAAAAAAAAATGCAGCAATATTTAAGTGGAGTGGACAAACAATACTTTTTCCATATGGAATTGTAACAATCAGCAGTCCTCCAAATGTGCTTTCAATTCCTTTTTCTTTATTTTTTTAGGACCCTGACCAGGGACTGAACCTGAATGGATCGCAGTTTGGAAGCGCCAGTCCTAACCACTGCACTGCGAGGGTTAAGTGTGTTTTCAATTCTTAACGCATCAAAGCTTAGATACTTGAGAGTCGTGATCAAACTTAGCATCTTAAAACATGTTAAAATATGATCTCTTGTGCCTGTCTGCAAGCTATCAGAAATCTCTAAAGGAAATGAATCGAACAACTCAATAAGGATCTATTAATATGAAAAACTCAATACAAAACTAAAATTTGAACATTTCTCTTACTTTTTCCCTCCTGACTCCTGATTTCAAAAGTAGTGTTTTGTCATTTATAAAATTCATTAATGATATTTCAAAACATTTTACTTTGTGGTATACTAAAACTATTCCATCTGCTCTGGCTGCCTCTAGAGATTCTTGAGCAAGACTTTTTAACCACTAAGACATACTTCCCTATCACAATGGGATATGGCAAGGAATAGTAACTTCTGCCATTGTAATTGCTAGAATCTCAGAACAACTTAAACAGTAAACCTGTCAATGTCAAATGGATCCTTAGCTTGGGTTATGAGATAATTTTAATGCAAAAAAAGGGAATGGGGAAAGTCTCTGGAGGTCCAGTAATTAGGACCCTGCACTCCCACTGCAGGGGGCATGGAAGCCCCATTTAGTTCCTGGTTGGGGAACTAAGATCCAACACGCCATGATGTGGTTGACCGAAAGGGGGAAAAAAAAGGGAGGGGGGAGGGGGCGGGGAAAGTCAGTATTGTATGTCTCATAGTGACTAAGAAACAATATTATTCTCATATCAACATTGTTATACTGAGATATTAATTCCTTCAATCTTAGAAGCATAACCCACTTTCAGGTCAGATCTGAGATATTTACCACAAAATTATATTAATGTGCATTATATGTAAGCTATCCGTAACACTGCTTTAGAGTACCGATTAATGCGTGTGTTCTAGAATATTTTAATTTTTAAAAAAGACAATTTGGTATTTTGATTGAATTAACCAATATGGTCATCAGGGCATCTTGATTCTAGTATTTCTAATTCAAATAATTAATCACACAGTGAAAGACTTTTACAACCACAGTTAGACCTGATGACTTCACAATTTAAAAACTTTTCTAAAAAAATAAAACAGCCAACGAGCATGACAAATTTAATACATTTGTTTCATGTCTGAGACACTTTCATTTAGAGATTTCTGGCAGCATTTATAACACAAGTGGATAATATAATTTCCATTATTTGATGGTTTTCTCACTCCCACAGAGAGCAGAATACATACCCTCAGGGAATAGTCACTCTCAGGGGCTATTTGGTCCATCCTTTCTTGCTTCTTGTACCCTTTCTTCCCTGCTGTCTCATCTAAATCTTCTGGAATTCTGATGTCATATTTATCCTTATCAAAATCAAACTCTGTTGCACTTTTGTAGCTGTAAAAAAATTTTTTAAAGAGCTAAATATTAACTTCACCATAAGAGAAGCAAGCAAGTAACCTTTCGTTAACAAAACAAAGCACAAACAAATACATGGTAAGAGTCAAAAGATCTGAGGAGCTGGAGGAAGGAAGGAAGGAAGGAAGAAAAGGAATCCAGGAAGGTGCAGAAACACTATTTACTCACATGTTGCCAGTGGGAATGTCAAATGAGAGAGCCACATTCTAATAGCATCTTAAAAAACTAAACAAGCAACTACCATGTGATCCAGCAATTACACTCCTGGGCATTTATCCAATAAAATGACGACCATATTCCCACAAAACCTCTATGCACTTATTTTACAGCTTTGCTTGTAGTAACTGAAAATTGTAAACAACTAGACTGGTAAACACACTGTGGTCCATGCAGACAACGCACTACTACTACTCAGCGAGGAAAAGGAAGGGAGCAGACACACACAAGGACCTGTATGAATCCTCAGAAAATTAAGCTGAATGAAAACACCCAATCCCAAAAGGTTTCACACTATGTGACTCCAGTTATATAATAACATTCTTTAAAATGACAAAGACACAGAAACGGAAAAACATGTTAGCGGTTGCCAGGGATTAAGGAGTGGGTGTGAATATAAAAAGGATCCTGAGTTGATGAAAATGTCCTTACTGTATCAATGTATCAACAGTACTCTTACTACAGTGTTTCAAGATGTTACCACTGGGGGGAACCTAGGGAAGGAGCACCTGAGATTTCTTACAACTACAAAGGAGTCTGCAAGTACCTCAAAATTAAGTTTAAAAAAAAAAATGGGGGTGAGGATGGGAGGGGCAGGGAAAAAGGAAGAGAAAAGAAAAAGGGAATGCAAGAGGTTAGAAAAGCATAAGAATGAAAGGATTTTAAGATTATCACTCTTTCTGCTTAACTCTTACAGTTCAACAGATCAATTAGATCTCTCAATATTATACACTCACTCTAAAGTTCATAGCTTCATCTGGAAAGGATTTTATCCTCACAAAGATTTAGCAACACAGAAGTCTCATCTATATTACTTTTCTCAACAGATACTGAATCATGCTTAGCTTTATGTAATGAACCAAAAGGATTTTTCTAACTTTACCAAGTTGGGACTTGTTGGCTGGGCTTTATCTTGTCATGTCTTTTTTTTTTTTTTTTTTTGAGGCGAGGGATAGTATAACCAAGAGCAAAAAAAACAGTGCTATGTAGATACAGTGGCAGGGCCAGGAAATTTATTTATAACAATATAAAATTATCTCAAATTGAAGCCAAAGAAACCTCAATGAAACACATTTGGGACAAGGTAAATCATTAAATATGCCATAAAATGAAGCCCTTCCAATACATTTCCACTCGGTATAACAATGGATGAACATAATGAAATTACTCCATGCACTTTACTTCCCAAATGGTTAACCAGCTGAGGGCTACTGTTTCACTTACCTTCTGAGATTCCAAATGATGATCCTGGTTCCCTTCTTGCCTATGATAGCATCAAGTTCTGCCAGTAACTGCTGTTCCTTAGAAAATAGAGAATGTTCCAGAATTGCAGCAAGGCTCGCTTTTGATTCTGTTGAATTTAATACCTGTCGTATATCTTAAGTTAAAGACTTAGACCAACACCATTTTTCAATTATAATATGGAAACCAACTCAAACTGAAAAACTACTAAATTATCCTCTAAATTTTAAAATCACAGTGTGATTTCAAATGAACAACAAGAAATATGAACAAGTATATTATGACTCCTAACGAATTTAGTGATTTCAAATATTTGAACGTTTATACAGAACATATTTTCCTAGAGATATCTTGTTTTTCATGGTTGTTCGTGAAAATTTCAAGCCAGACCGTTAAGTCTTACTGACCACAAAAAGACTGAAATAAAAAGGTGAGCTCTGGGAAGCTTAATAAAAATGCAACCGCCTTATGTTGAGTATTTCCATGGCACAATTCCAACAGAGGTCAGAGAGGGAGAAACATTTAGCCCAGACGCAGAGCAGAAGCAGTGGACAGGAACAAGAGCTAGAACGGAAGGTATGATTAAAAACAAGAACCCAGAGGAGGCCAAAAGGATGGAATGGTCCAGACTTATTTCCTCAGTTTTAATTTCAAAATCAAAAGGATATGGTGTTTGTTGAAAGCCACGATTGGGACAACAACATGTTCTGCTTTTATGACTTCCAAGTACGTCTGAGACAAGAAACCCACGCTCATGCTTTCTCCATTTTTGGTAAAAACCATTGCATCTTTACCCAAACGCATAGAACCTGACTTGAAGCCATTTCCATACAATCCAACTGGGACATGATCATTCATGGTGACTTTCTCACTGAAGCCAAAGCTAAAAAGAAAAAAGTATAATCTTCATTTATTTGAGTTCAAACATTGTTAATGTCAAGTAAAATGCCTAAGTCTGAATGCCAGCCCTACCCTTCCTTGCTGGATGATCTGTACTGATGTGTCTCCCCATCTCTGAGATGAAGGAAGCCAAATCCACACTATAGGGATGGAAGGACTGTTGCTGCTTTTCACTCACTCAGCCGTGTCCCACTCTTTGCGACTCCGTGGAATGTAGCCCAGCAGGCTCCTCTGTCCATGGGATTTCCCAGGCAAGGATACTGGACTGGGTTGCCACACACACACTAACACAGCAGCTCCCTGCCTGGCACATCCCAGCTAGATGGATGAAGGAGCTGAGGCCTCTGGGACCTTGAGCCTTCCCGTCTCCCTCCTAGTGGGGAGAACCCGCCTCTTCTGGCAGCGTGAGGAGCGCTGGAGGACAGCAGAGGGGCCTCTGCTCCAAACCTCCCTCCATCTCGCTCTTGGACGACGTGTGTTAGCTTCCACGTCAGGTACATCTGGGTTCTTTCTGACATCCTGTTCTTTGCCCTAGAGCCCAAGACCTTGTGACTATGCTACTTCCTCATCCTTGAATCACTTGAAAATTACTAGTTTCCATTCTCCAAAGTGTTAAGTTTTATTGGATATGGTAGCCAAAACTATTTTTCTACTAAAGCACAAACAGAGGACAATGTACTACAACTCTAAAGGAACGGGGGAATTTAGGTAAGTGAAGACATGGCAGGGATGATGAGAATGGCCGGGACTGCCTAATAACCTAACATTGATAGAAAACAATGGAAGACTTACAGAACAGAGCACACTGTGGGTACATCTCATGTTTAAAAAACAGGAACTACAGGCGATGAGTATGACACATGAAACACTTCAACTAGGTAAAAACAATGATTTTAAGGAGTGTGACGCTTTTACATACCTTAGCATTTTATGTAATTTGTCTGAAGTCATACCGTTCCCATTATCAGTGAATGTCAGGCATATACAGTCATTTATCACTGTTTTGTCAATCCATATCTGTTTAGCATTCACATCAGGGTCATAAGCATTATCTGGCAAACACAAGTTTGAGAAATTTTGATTTTGGATTTTAAAGAAGAGCAATCAGTTTTGAACAACCCTTTATAACCAGCAACAAAATATGTTTTAAGGAAACTTTAACAGCTGAAATGTTCCCGAACTTCTGAAATTCGACATGAAACTAACCTGCACCATGCTGTATATCACTCGCTGACTCTCACGGAATTATCGACAGCCCTCCATTCGTCACACAGAGGATGGGGGCGGGAACCCGCGACACTACGGAAGTGTGAAGCCAAAAGAAGCACTGCGACGAAGAGATGGTTAAGACAGGAAGGTCTCGGCCCAAAGAACTAGCCTAGCTATCATAAAGGAAACTTAGAGCCGAGTGTCAACAGCACTTCAAGTTGGTATGGAAGGTCCACACAGGATTACTGAGTGAATGAGAAAGCAGTATGCTAACCTACACACAGATGAAAGTCCACCTTCTACACAGTTCTTCAAATTTTAGCCCTTTTTAATCTAATATAAGCCTCTGACGACAGGCACATTTTTATCATCTTCATGAAAGTTAGTCGTCTAGTGGTGTCTACTCTGCAACACCATGAATTGTAGCCCGCCAGGCTCCTTTGTACATGGAGTTCTCCAAGCAACAATACTAGAGTGGGTAGCCATTCCTCTCTCCAGGGAGTTTTCCCAACCGAGAGATCAAAGCCGGGTCTACAGAATTGCAGGCGGGTTCTTTATCACCTGAGCCACCAGGGAAGCCATCTCTGTACACCTCATCATTTAACACCCTTGTCCAGCATACTTGCTGCTCTCAGAACAGCTATTAAGTATTAAGGAATACAGCAAAGAAAAAGGAAATAAATTTCAACAGTAGCTGTAATAAAAATCAACTTATGAACTGTCTAAAATCTATCTGAATATTCCTAACTGACTAAAAATACTTCTGAGGTATATTTTGAAGACTTTATTATAATATAAGAAGTGGCTCTCAAACTCCTGTTAAGCCTTCAATTAAAATAAAATAATCTTTTTATCAACCACTTCAGCATCATTAAAAAAAAAAGCACTTAAAAATGTGATACACCACAAAGAGCATAATGGCTTTCAGTTGCCCTATCCCAAAACTAGACAAGTACTATGTATGAATGAACAATCCCAGCTGAGTAGTTCCTCTGGGTTGCCATAAAAAGGAAAAAGAGTGACTGTGAATAGCTGCAATGTTATCTCATTTACACCTCAGAGTTTACATCTGAACAGAACATGTTAGGGACTTTGGAAAATCTAACTACGCCAAAGAAAAGAAGGAAGTGAAAGCCACTCAGAGTGTCTGACTCTTTGTGACCCCATGGCCTATACAGTCCGTGGAATTCTCCAGGCCAGAGTACTGGAGTGGGTAGCCTTTCCCTTCTCCAGGGGGTCTTCCCAACCCAGGGACTGAACCCAGGTCTCCCACACTGCAGGCAGATTCTTTACCAGCTGAGCCACAAGGGAAGCCCAAGAATACTAGAGAGGGTAGCCAATCCCTTCTCCAGAGGATCTTCCTGACCCAGGTATCAAACCTGGGTCTCCTGCATTGCAGATGCATTCTTTACCAACTGAGCTATCAGGCATAAAGAAAAGAAGGGTTCTCAAATTTCTTCTTTCGTTATTCTTGGCGCATCCACTTTAGAACCGCTCCTTGACAAATAATCTAAAGTGTATCTAAGAATTCCCAAGAATATAGTTTTCCTTTATTATCTGTTTCTCAAACATGTTTAAATGAAACAATTCATGTGCATGACTTTTACCAAAGAAAACCCATAATGCAAATCCGATCATGACCTTGCCTCTTTTCTCACGTTCACTAAAACACGTTTAGGACTTCCCTGGAGGTCCAGTGGTTAAGAATCCGCCTTGCAATGCAAGGGACACTGGTTTGATCCCTGGTCTAGGAAGATCCCACATGCCTCAGAGCAACTAAGCCAGTACACCACAACTACCGAGCAGCCGATGGAGCCTGAGAGCTGCAACCACTGAGGCCCGTGCGCCGAGAGCCTGCGCTCCCAACGAGAGGAGCCCACGCACCGCAGGAAGAGCAGCCCCTGCTCGCCGCCTCTGGAGCGCCTACGTGCGGCAATGAAGACCCTCCACAGCCAAATCCATGGGCAAACAAACCTCCTAACTACTAATGTCGGAAAAGTGCTATAAATCATTTCCGACTTTAAACATAGTTCTCATTTTTCGGCAATAGATCTATTTCTTTTACGATGAGACTAAAAATATTTTCAACATAAATGCTTCAGGAACTCTGCCAATTAAAATACTCTGCTCTGACAGTAGTATAGGGTAATACTTCAAACAACAGTATACAGGGGAAGCTGGGCAATGACTGATCTGACACTAGTTTGAATGGGTGTGATGCAAGGTAACTTTTACTAATGTTATCACTGACACGTTTGGTTTTTTAAAAAAGCGTATCTTCATATCACTTTTTAATAAAAAGCTTTTTAGAACTTCACTGCCAGCAACAGATTATATATGAAACATCAATTTACTTACCTATTAATTCAGCGACTGCACTAAATGGCCAAGTGTGACTTGTAGAATTTGTATGTAAAAACTTCGGGCAAAGCTGAAACAAATCAATGATTCATGTAAATTAATTAAGGCCTCACTTTCTCGAACAGAAGCCAAAATATTCTTCTGTCCCAGTATTAACACCAAGATCAAGCAAAAATGACTTAACTGCTTGTGTCAGGAGACACCTGGAAGATAAAACCCAGATTAGATTCCTGGAAAATAAGGCTGAACTATCAGCCAAACAGTTTCTCATTAAGATGGGCAGCAAACCCTTTGCCTCCTTGTGCCCACCAATCCAGAGCCGTATCAGAAGGGGCCCAATTCTAAAGTGCTCCACCCTGCCAGGCCTGCCTCAGAATTGAGAGGCTTAGTCGCTCAGTGTCCGACTCTCTGAGACCCCATGGACTGTAGCCCACCAGGCTCCTCTGTCCATGAGATTCTCCAGGCAAGAGTACTGGAGTAGACTGCCATGTCCTCCTCCAGGGGATATTCTAGACCCAGGGATTGAACCTGCATCTCTTATGTCTCCTGCATTGACAGGAGGGTTCTTTACCACTAGAGCCGCCTCAAAATTACCATGAGATAAAACTAAGACTTGGTCAAAGGGATGTTTTCGCCTTTTGTGCATTAGGCTTAATTAACATATCTAAAAGCCCTCAACCAATGTCAAGTAACAGTTCAGATGCAACAAACCTCCTTGCCTTCTAGAGATTTTGTCTGACTCGTCATAATAAAGTATGGAAGAGTATATTAATCAACTTCATGCTACAGGGGAACTCTCTTAATCCTGAGTAGTGCAGATATCAAATGTGTAAAAAATGTATAAATGGTTTAAAAAGGCTGAGGCTTGGATATTTCAAAATGCAGAGCATTTTCATGAAATGAGGACTTTTCTGTGTTCATTTTGAACAGATTATCTTACATTTCAGGAAGAAAAAAGAGGCAATTTAAGTGTTTCATGTGAACAGACTAGAGATATGACTATAACCAACATTTGTAGTGTTCAGCTGCTGCCACAAGGTGTCAGAAAGAGGTCTGCTTTTCCTCTGTCCACCCTCGATTTTAGACAACCCTCAAGCATGTTTACCATCAGGCTGAAGTACACATGTGAGAAAAGGTATTCTGTAGAAGAATGGTTTGCAAACTGGAGTATATGTAATTGCAACTTTCTATAGCATATATCTATGTAATAACGGGAGTATAAGGAATTCCCGAACTTTCTAAAACAAAGAGTTTTTATAAAGAAAATCAATTTCCAGACCTTCATCTTCTACAAGAAACCTGCTGTCAGTCAGCCCACATGAGCCCTAGCCCAGCCCCTCTTGTGCAACCACCATCTCTCCATTCATAAAAGAACACTCCTCAGCCATTCGAGGTCCTGCTATGGGCTATGGTCTTGGGGGGTCAGCTACCAAAGGAGAAAATCTACAGCAGAAACCCTTAGAAGAGTTTGTCTTTGTTCTCTATTTTATGAATTTGTTAGCTGTGAAGTCTGGAGTTAGAAACTGGATATTCTGCAGCAGATGCAGGTTTGATCCCTAGGTTGGGAGGATCCCCTGAAGTAGGAAATGGCAACTATTCCAGTACTCTTGCCTAGAAAATCCCATGGACAGAGGAGCCCAGCGGGCGTTAGTCCATGGGGTTCAGAGAGCCAGCCACAACTGTGCACAAATGACACAGGGGTGAAATCTGGGTTAGAGACTGGGCATTTCGGTCCATGTTGTAACACTCTGGTTTGAGATGTATGGCTTTTGGTATATTTAAACACAAGCATTATTTATAGCTATTATTAATTCTCATCTCTAAAACAATTAGCTGGAAAGAAAAACTCCCTAGAATAGCCAACACACACACACACACACCAGACAGACTATGGAGTATCTGATCATACACACACACACACACACACACACACACAGCCAGCCTACGGAGTTTCTTTAACTAGACGTGTGATCCTGATCACACACAGATCACATACACTGATATCACACACACACACACACACACACACACACACAGAGCCTATGGAGTATCTTTAACTAGATGTGTGATCCTGATCCCACGTAAGCAACTGAAACTTCTGTGCCTCAAGTTTTATCATCTGTGAAAATGAGGACGATAGTAATAGCAGCTTACCAAGATGTTAAGAGAATTAAATAACTCAATATTTGTAAATGCTTAGAAGAACACCTGGAACATAATAAGCATTATAAGTGTGTGGTTTTCTTTTTTTTAAGGTAAGCATACTTTTAAAGGCACAACTGAGCTCATATAATAAAGAAAATACTCAAGGGCCTCAAGTAAAGAAAAAATTAAAAACAAAAATAAGATTTGAAAATAGGGATACCCTAGGGACTAGAGTTGGAGAAGGAAATGACAACCCACTCCAGTACTCTTGCCTGGAAAATTCCATGGATGGAGGAGCCTGGTAGGCTGCAGTCCATGGGGTCGCTAAGAGTCAGACACGACTGAGCGACTTCACTTTCACGTGTTGGAGAAGGAAATGGCAACCCACTCCAGTGTTCTTGCCTGGAGAATCCCAGGGACGGGGGAGCCTGGAGGGCTGCCGTCCATGGGGTCGCAAAGAGTCGGAGACGACTGAAGTGACTTAGCAGCAGCAGCAGGAACTAGAGTGGGGTGCCTAACTGGAATGTGAAGGTTTTCACTTTAACAGTGACTGTGGATTGGAAACACGGCAGAGAAGCATGCACTTGGAGGTGACTATCCCTCCTACCTCAATAAAAACGGGGCAGGGGAAATATGCCCAATGAGAAGCTTGTCTGTTTCAGTCTGCAGTCAAGGTTAAAAAAAAAAGTCTACCATGAAGTTCTGTAAAGAGGCACATCTTCACTTGGGTTAAGTGTTTCAATTTAACCTGCAGAACCACTGTGGAGACACAGTCTCAACCCGACTGCCCAAGATTCTCTGGGGTCATTACTTGGGGAATATTTGAGTACACAATCTAAAATAACGTATAAGGAAACAATCCACCAAGAGAAAATATTTGCAGACAAGACACAGTAGTCTTAGCGTGCACCCAACCTCACTGAAGTAAAG